GCTTCATGGACACTAGGCTGCTGGTTCTGAATTTCATGAAAATGTTAAGAAGTCATCTAAAAACGTCTAGAATTCTGAATTTTTATCACAAAGCCTCAGTGGCATAAATTTCAGATAGGCTTATAAATTTGTAAATTATAGAAGGATAGCTCATTTACTTATATATTCTGTAAAATTGGCAGCAAAAATGGCTCTCACTCTTACTGGGGGCCAATCTATTTCGTTATTTGTGCTTGCTTCCTTTCCTGCAGCCAAGTGACTGCCTTGTTGACTTATACACACACACAGACACATTTTGCCTGCATACCCCTAGGAAGACATAATCTGTCTTTCAAATAAGAAGTTCTAGAGCTTCAATGAAGAAATATTGCAATTCTATATAGGGTCCTAGACAGTGTCTCAAAATGGAGTGCTTTTTAAAAAAACGTTTTGACAACATTAAAAGAAACCTGCATCTGCAATTTTTAGTGGCTGTTGTGAAAGGGATCTAAAGTGTTTTGCCTATTCAATAAGCATTGTACTCATTTTAATTGGCTTTGTTTGTTCTTACGAACATCAGTGCAGAATCACACCTGATTGGTTATATAAAATGTGGATATTATCTCATTTGCTATATAATCCCAATTAGTTGGGAATGTGATTAAGAAAACACAATAATTGGAAGCGGGAGAAGAGTGCAGAAACAGAAGAAAATAAGGATAACAATGTTAGCAAAAAATAATTATCACATTTGAGGAATGATGGGAAATATTTCTGACATACAAAAGCACTACTTTTGAAAAGATTTGGGACACACATTCACAATTTAATTTATTTATTTTTTTACAAGGAGGCATTTCTTCCTATATACATAAAAATGTAAAGCTGTCATTGCACAGCCTTCAGTAGAGGATTTGTAGTGCTGCATCACAATCCTGGATTTGCATGAAATCAGCTTGGAGTAGAGGAGCAAAAGAGAAGGCAGGTTGCACAACACCAATGGCCATGGCATGGGAATAAGAAGGGAGGGACATTGAAAGAGGAAAAGTGGTGGTTTTAAAAAGCAGGTGTTTCAGTAAAGCAGGGATGGAGGGGCACAGAGAAAAATTGTGGTTTTAAACAACAGCAGAGGTTTGAGAAGAGTGAGCAGGAAGAACAAGTGGCCGATTATAAAAAAAAGATTTTATATATGCAGTGCCATGGTATGTGTGCTATCTAGTCTAAGAACTCAATCTTGGAACTAAGTCTACAAGTTGACCTAATTTTAAAACATCTGCCTGCCTGCCCGCTCGTCTGCCCGTCCATCCATCCATCCTTTGTTTCCCTTGCCATTCCTGCCTTACGTAACATCTTGCCTGGTGAAGAATTCTGGAGAACTTCAAAACTTTCCACAATTTTGTATAATTTTGATTAGCCCAACTGTGAATTTGAGAATTGCTTTTTTTTAATCTTGTAGACCAACATTGCCCACCTTTGCTTTTTATGAATCTATTCAGAAGTCTACCATTCAGGTTACTTTGGAAACCTATCTTCTCACAGCTCTACCCAGGTGTTGAACAAGGTTAAGAGAGTGGAAGTTCCCAGGTTGTGAAGAAGCTGAAGCTGGCGTGGACTTGAGTTAGGTGTGAGACATTTCAGTTATTTGAATGTGGGCTATTCATATAAGTGGCATAAGCCTGAATTGCATGCTTGAGGAGGAAATGAAAACAGAGATGTTTTGCAAACAAAAACCATACCCATAAAGTTCTCTATATTTTATTTTTAAACTTGTTTATGTGTGGATGCCATTTTAGGAAAGTTATCACTGTCATAGATCTATGAATGAGATATACACCATAACTGAGTAGTTTTGCTAGTATGGAGAAGGAAACATCTCACGAAATCAATAAAGAACAACTCATGAGAAATACCCATGTTAGATGTTACCTGTCAGTTCACCAGATTTCTATAGTTAAAAGTTAATGTGCTGTGTTACAGAAACTTGGAATCAGTTTACTGAAACAAGTCCACCTTATGTGCTGTAATTTCATGGAATATTTACGAACATTCTAGCTGCTCAGTGGTTAGCACAAAAGCCCAGAGACAGAAAGTGTGAGTTTATACTGTCAGATGGAGATGAGATCCGAACAGAGAATAAAAAAATAGAATAAGTGTATTTTCAAAGGCTTCCACTTATACATTCATATAGAAGCCTCATGATGCATGGCTTGCTTATGAACCTACAACAACTATATTTCAAAAAAGAAATATCTGGGACTGTTCACTGGCAATGTTCAATGTGCATGGAAACGTATTTCTACAGATCTTAAAGAAGCATTACATTCCACAGCTGCTCAGTGCCTTTTGACCTATGCTGGGCAGTTTACTTGCCCGACCATCAGCCTTAGCTCCACACTGTGGACTTCACCTTTTGAATAACAAATAGGAAAGCACTGTCCTTTGTATGATTTCTTGTGGACCAGCATTACTCTCTCATAACTTTACCAGTTGGCCCAAACCATTAGAAACTTGCAAATTCATCTCTTCAGCTCTCAACTGTCTTAACCAGGTTGAGAAATGGTAGTCGCTTGCTGTCATTTCTAACGCTTGTTCTCCAAAAGAACAAAACACAGTGTTATCTCCAGATCTTTAAATAAGCCTTCAACAAAGCCGTTTCTAAGTCTCTGTCTGTCTGTCTATCCATACATACACACATGGTGTCAGAATATTATCTTTACCTAGTTACATTGCATCGAATAGAAACAATTTCAGAACGACCAAAGGTACAATCTTGCAGCTGTGACAGTGGACTACATGAACATCTGCAGTTAGAAAGCTATTATGAGGCAATAGGCATAAGGTGGGTTTGGATGTGCCTAAATGTAGAGTACCAAGTTGAAGCTGTGTCCCCAAGGAACTGGAACAGCAGAGCTGTTTGGCTGTGAGGTGCATCAGGCACTGCATGATGCTATACCATTCCTGGCCACATTTCTTACGGGCTCACATTTGGCACACTTTTGGAATCTGCATTCACAGTTGATGAATGTTTCTGGGAAGATACATCAGAAGAGAAACTTCAGTGTTCTGTGGTTGAATCCCTGAAGGTTTCTTATTTAGGTTTCTGCTTCTTGCTCTGTAATTAGTGCCCTAGCCATGCAGAGGTGGATGCATTCACAATTACCAGCTACAGCAGAGCTTTCCAAACTATGTGTCGGCAGCAGTGTGTAGGTGTGTTGCGCGAATGATCCCCGTACTCCTTCCGCGTTTAACCTCCAGTTTGCTAGTAAAACTGAATTACTGGGTTGCGAAATGATGCATGTCTAAAAAGTGTGTCACCAACAAGAAAAGATTGGAAAGCTCTAAGGTATAGAATTGTGGTGCAAGTCTGCAATCTTCTTCTTATAAACATTTGCAGCAAAATTCCTATTAATTATTATCCAGCAGGATTGCAGGATATGCAAATACATATTTCAAGTTATAAGTATTCTAGATGCTAAATTGTATAAAAACCCAAAACATCATTCCTATATAGATGTGTGTATAGAATAACATTGCTATTCCAAAAAATACATACTTTAAAAAAAAAATGGGGTGGGGAGATGTAGCAGTTTCATATCAAGACACACAAATGCATGTCACTGATATTATTTTATTGAGTATGTTCTCCCACTGACTGAAGCTATTAACATATTTAATATTGTATTATGGTTTTAAATATTACATTATAAAGCTATATTTTTCCATGCACTGCTTGGTGCTAACAGGCATATGAGGTAGACATCTAACAGATTCACATCCATAGCATGATGCAAATTAGGTTTTTGTCATATATATTAGAATACCACATAGTTCTGCTATTAGAGTCATTTTGCTGCTTTCAATATAATAGCATTTGCTGATTTCTAGAAGGTTTACATATCCATAAGGATACCTTGATATGTATCACTTTATGCACACCTATTTATTATAAAGTGTAGCACACTGCTGTTGATTTCCAAACTCAGTTGATAAGGAAGCAGCTGGGAGCAGTGCAAAAAGCCATAACAAATCTACAAAAAGAGGAAACTAACTACTTTTGTTAGTACACATTTTGAACTCCAATAATAAAGAAAGCATTAAGCAGCACTGGGTAGAGAGATGAAGCTGCTATTATTTACCGTCATTTCCTAGGGAGAATGGGGATTTAAAAATTGTGGGGAATGTGGAATTGAAGTAAAAAAGATTTAATTTAAGCTAAAAAGTTTGTGAAGTACTTATCTACATGGGAGCAGATGAATTAGGAATGTAACTGAATAATTTACAAACACTAAAAATAATTACATTGGAATATGATGAGAACCAACCAAAATGATGTAATCAGTCCATTGTTGAGCATGATAACGGCTGATTATGTAAGAGAGTAATTTTATTGAATAATGATTTAACTGTATGCTATAATTTTCAAGCATTATGAATGTTTCATGTGTACTATGTCACCCCTGTAGGAAGTAATTAAAATTGTATCTATCAATGAGAAGAACTTTTTAAAGCAAGCTGGCATCCCCAATCATCAATAGATTTACCTACAATTCCTATTGAATTTAATGGCACTTTTACGTACGGTAAGTGTTGCTAAAATTGCAGCTTAGTAGTCTTACAGCCCAGTCATAAATATACATATATTTGGAAATAGTCACTGAGCTCACAATGAGATTTGCTTCCTTGTAAATTTGTTTAGGATTGCTGCCATAATCCCATCAGCTGCTGCAACTGGCACTGAATTTTGCCCCAGCACTGCTGAAGCACATGGCATCGATCCCGTGGCACATCTTGCAGCAACAACTTTGCACATCGCTCCTTTCCAAAGTTCTTTGACATGTGTACAACCTGAGACAAATGCGGGCGTTGGTCAGGAAGAGAGAAGATGCTTACCAATATTTTCAGCACCACTGTTCTTCCCCCCTCCCCACCCGCTCCAAGCTCCAGACCCTAGATTTCAATGTGGACACTTGCCTTTACTCAGAGCATGTGCAGAGTGCATGTCCCTCAGTGTTACCAGCTGCATGTGTGGTTGACGAGGAGGTGGGGCTTCCATAGCTGCAGAAGCTGCTGCATTGAACCCTCCTCATCCCTTTCAGCTGGTGCTTTTGATCCACTACTAGCACATCCAAACCCATTCCCCAAAGCTGCTCCCTCGAGGTCCCGAGCCAAACTTCCGGGCGGGCGGGCGGGAAGCAGCTCTCCTCCTTTGATCTCGCCGGGGCGCGAGGAGCAGCAGCAGCAGCAATATTTCAAATTCCTCACAAGCAGTAGAGAGGAAGGCGCTCCACGCCATGGACGTAAGAGCTGCCCTCCTCCGGTGAGGGAAGCGGAGCCATGATGACGTGAGACTGGAAACGGAAAGCGAGACCCCAAAGCAAGTCTGAAAGGTGTATTATTGTGGTGTGACGTTGGTTGGTGCCCAATTCATCTCTCTTTCCCTCACACGCAGCGTAAATATGAAGAAACCCTTTTCGTGTGTGTTTTGTGTGTGCTGTTCCCTCCGGAATTTGTCCTGGCTGAGGCGGGGACAGCGAGCGCGGAGGGACAGGAGTAACTTTTGAGGGGAAGTGGCGGCGGCGGCGGCAAGTTGTGGCTTTTTGTGTGCGGGCGCGCGCGCGCGCTTTCGCCTACGTTTGTCTGTCACACTCATATACATACACACACACAAAGAGAACGAGAAGCAGAGCAGCTGCTTCCTCACGTCCGTGAGGAAACTCGCTTTCTCTCTCTCTCGCCCCTCTCCCCCCCCCCCGCCTCGCGCTGCTTTTCGCGCCTCCCTCCCCACAGGCGGCTCTTCCTCTCCGCGCGCCCGCCCGCCCGCCCGCGCGCGTGCGCTTGCCTAGTGCGGCGCGTGGGGCACCTGCTTGTCTGGGCTGCTGTTTGCCGCTGCCGCCAGCGCCACGCAGGGCTGCCGAAGCTAAGAGCTGCTGCTCCTGCTCGCTGCCGCCGCCTCCTCCTTACTGCCGGTTCCAGTTCCTTCCTCCGCTGGCGCCGCTAGTGTTGCTGCCGCTGCCGCTGCTGCCGTGCGAGCGAGTTGGGCTCCTCCGGTGGGGTTTGCCCCTTCCCCGCCTGCTCCTTCCCCCCCACCCCCTTTTGCCTGCGAGTCAGCCTGGCTCCGAATCACGTGGCAATTGCCTGAGGCTGAGACTAAAAAGGGGGAGGAATAAAAAAAAGGGGGGGAGAGAGAGAGCAAAAAGCGCCTCATTCCTTCTTCCACCGCCATACTGTATTTTATAGTAACTCGCATTTTTATTCCTTCCTTTTACTCCCGCTCGGTGAGTACCTTTCCGCTGACATTCTTGTCCTCCTTTTTCGTCCTGTTTTTGTTTTTTCCTCTCTCTTCCTTTTTTTTGTTTTTGTTTTTGCTGCTTTTTTATTTTTTAACCTCTTTGTTTTCATGGATTTGATCCTTTTTCTGATGACAAGTTTTTTTTTTCTTAGCATGCGATGGTTTACTAAACTGGGAGCAAAAGGTGTTGCTGGAACTGGAAGTCACTGGGAGCCTAAAGAGGAAAGGAGAAAGAGAGCGAGCGAGAGAAATAGACTTGCCAGTCCAGCAATAACGTAAATGCAGATAAATTATACGTATTTATACATATGCAACTGGTTTTGTTGTGAGAAAGAAAGAAAGAAAAGCGATGTGAATTATAATGCATTTTTTTATTAAAAAAAAAACCAAAGAGGTGAGAAATGGGCATGTTGCTTAAACTCTGTTTTGCAGAGATTTTTGATGATGTTGTTTTGGTTTTTTTATTTTTTGTATATATATGAGATTTGAAAATGCATTTTACAGCAGTGTTTACAAAGAGTTTGTAATCTTGCAATACTGGTGCAAGCCACTAAGCAAGATATTAATTTTGTTAAATGGTTTTTGTTTTTCGTTTTGTTTCCTTTTTTTGGACACCCGGTTGCAATCAGCCGTTTTTCTTCTTTTTCTGTTTTTGGTGCCCGGTTATAATGTGAAACTTTTCTTGTAGCTTGGTACTGTTGATCATTTTTAAATACACCCCCACTTCCCTTAAAAAATACTATATTGCAAAAAAGAGAGAAAAAGCCAAAGATAATTCCTTTCCAAAATTTCACTTTTTTATTCTTTTATACCGAGATAATGTTATGATGATTATCATAATGTTGATAGATATACACATATATACAAATAAGTACATTTTCAAATGATGGCAGTGGAAGGTTTTCCTGGAGAATGAAGTGCGGTTTGGTTTCCTTGTCAACGGAAGATGAAGTGAACAACTGAACATCTCCCCAGTGCAGGTACTTTAGCTCCTTGTAGGCGTTTCCACTCTTTGTAAATTACATTACCGAGATCCCCCCTCCCTCTCTCCCCAAATAAGATCTCTTGAGCCTTAGCTGCAGAGCTGTAAGTGATGAAATGAAGATGAAGCTAGGTATTCTTTTGCTGTTTGAATAGATACAAAACTGTACTAATTGTGCACAGGTCATTGCATGGTTTGTGTGCATAAAGGGAGCTTACCTGAGTGGAACCCGTGAGAGACATCTCACAGGCAGGGACTCTTTGATGGGGTTAAGGAACTGACAATGCCAGGACTTGATAGAGAGAAAGATGTTGGGGTTTTGTTATTGCCCACTAGGTGTTTGAGACAGACACAGCAGCAGCAGCATCCCTCTGAAGCTTGTTACCTTATCAGGCTTGAGCCTGAGACATTTTTTGCAACCAGATACACCACACACAAACACACATGCACACCTCACCCCCCCTTATTTCCAACATCTGTCTTCCTCCTTAACAATGCCTAAATAATGCACTGTGTCTCCTACCTATCAGTTTTCAGTTATATGGACAAAGATTTGACTATAAGAAAACAGTTGGTATTTGTTTTCATTTTGGTTTAATGATTATTGGTGTTGTTGACCTCCAGTGCCTGGGAAATAGTTGCCTTCCATCCTAATTCATGATTTGGGCAAGAAATGGATTGCTTTGTTTGCCATGCTGTTAATCACTGAATAGTGATAGATGGTGATTTTAAAAGAGTGTAAATGAAGATGCAGTTTGAAATTTTTTCCTCCTTCCCCTATCCCACCAAGCTTTATTTGAGTAGTTCAATATGTGGTCAGAGTTAGATGTTTTGCATGTTTGCTGTTCTGTGTGGTTAATACTTTAAAATGGTAATGTTTAGATTACATGGGCACATACTTTGTGGTTTCTTTAACACAGCCAGGCACAACAAGTGTGCAGTGGTATATTTTCATGTTTTTAACCAAACTTAGGTTGGAGAGAAAGCCGTTCCTACATCTTATCTAAAATGTATTTAATTTGAAATGCTTTGCACATGCATATGGTAATGATGGAAAAAGTTTGTTCTTGCATAATCTGCAGTGCTAAGGTTGTTGGGATGTGGAAAACCAAATTAAATCAACTGAGTAATGCTGTATAGAAAAGCAGAGACTGAAGACATGCATTTTCCAGTAGTATGCGATAAATTTCATGCAACTGACCCAGCAAGACTTCTCAAGAGATACTTGTTTATCTAATTGATATGTGTAGCATTTAGCCGAAGGTGTTGACTGTACATCTCAAAGATAAACACATTTCTGTAGAAGCAAATGCAATTTTTTTTGAAAAATGAAACTTTGTTTCTGTGTAAATATGCTTAAAGCTACAATCCTATACACACTTTCTGGAAAGTAAGTCTTATTGAATTAAGTGGGGTTTACTTTTAAACAAACTTGCATAGGATCAGGTTGTACTATTGAAGTACCAATTTAACAACACACTACACCTTATTTTAAAATATATACTGAAAATATTAAGAAAAACAGTCTGAAAAACGTATGTTGGTCCCATCAGTTTCAACTGAATGTATATTCAGGATCCGGGCTATATGTGGAGAAGATAAGTTGCTTGTTTGGAATAGTTACTGTCTTTGCTGATCATTTTGAAAAGCATTATTCTAAATCGATTGGTCAGGGGCTGAGAAACCTTTGCATTTAGCCACCATTGTTTCAGAGATGCTTTCATTTTTGATATTTTAAAGATGCTTTTACCAAACAAAGCAGACTTGCCTTGCCTTGCTTTGTAAGATAATGCAGATGTGTTACCTCAGTGATTTTAAAGAATGCCACTTCACTAGGTGCCATATCTTTGTGCTTTTTCATATAAAATTAATTCCGAACACTTTCTGATGCATGTGGGAACTAATAAAACTTTATGTCAGATGCAGTGTTTTAAGAGGAAACATTCCACATTTTGAGTATATTCTTAAGTGATTTTTCAGAGTTCTTCCATTTTCTTCTAGGTGAGTAATCGTTGAAGGTCCTCTGGAATATTCTGAATGTAATGAAGAATATGTGTATAGTGTTTTCAAAACTTGAGCCAAATATTGTAGAGTTTTGGAGAATTGCCATTTTGAGATGCATGCATAGCGTATAAGTAATATTTGGCAGACAGGTGCAGCCAGATCCTAATTATGTTTACACAGAAGCAAGTCCCTTTTATTTCAGTGAACTTTGTCTCCAGTAGTAGCCTGGTCCTATGCAGAATTAAGCATGTGTAAATATGTGTTGGATTGGACCCTCAGGTGTGTTTTGGAATGCAACCTCATCCCTTTTATTTATCAGTGTGCATGTCTTAGCTGATTGAATTTAATGCTGTCGGAAACTGAGTTTTCTCAACGAAGTGACTGCAAGTCTGAAAATCTAGAGATATCAGTGCTTCTACTATTTGAAGCAACAGATTTGTAAATTATAAATTCAGAATATTTTATAATGGATGCATACAAGATTGTGTACCCATAATAACGTTTGAAAGTGGCAAAGTAATTGAAATACAATTTAAATATCTCAGTTTTCTTCAAAGGAAGACAATCTTATTTTGCGTAGCTCTCTAACAGAATATGTTTGTTGTGAAGTCCAACTTCACTATTATCTGGGACTAAATCTGCTCAGTTAAGGGCTTGTCTCAAGAAGCCGCTAAGTGCCCCCATTTGATAAGAGCACTGTGTTTTTGCACTGATATAGACAGAGATGCACAGGAAAGGATCTCTTAGTGTCTCTGTTTCGGATGTTTGTTTATGGTTGCAGCTTGCCCTTTGAATTGGTGTAAGGTTCTTAAGCATCCTTATCTGGAAGTAAGACAATGTGTGCTTAGAGACTTACTTCCAAATAAACATGTTAGGATAGTTCTGCATGATGGTAGCTTGCATACAGTACATTCGATAGATCTAGTTTATTCTCACAGCTTGATCCAATGCATGTTAGTTCCAATGAATTCAGTAGAAATTAGTCTTAAATAAGTATGCATAGACTACAGCCTTAGTATAGAAGGGCTTTGAGTAATATACTTGCACTTCAGCTAGTGAAAAATGCTGCAGCCCTGATGTTGGTTGGGGCAAGGTGCTCAGAGTATATTACTCCAATATAATATTAGCTCTACAGTGGTACCTTGGTTTACGAACTTAATCCATTCTGGAAGTCAGTTCTCAAACTGAAACCATTCTTAAACCGAGGCACACTTTATCTGATGAGGTCTCCCGCTGCTGGTGCCCTTCCACCGTTCGGATTCTGTTCTTAGACCGAGGTTAAGTTCGCAAACCAGGACACTACTTCCGGTTTTGCCAAGTTCGTAAACTGAATCGTTCGTAAACAGGGCTGTTCTTTCCAATTCAAAGTGCTGCTTATGACCTTTATTGCAGTTAATGGTTGGGGAACCAGGTTACTTGAAGAACAACCCGCATCCATGTAAACCTGGCTGGACTTTAAGATTGGCCTAGAGGGCCTGCTTGTGGATCCATCAGTAGCTACAACTAAATTTTGGCGGTGGAACTCTCCATTATTGGAGAGCTGAATTCAACATTCTCCTTGATTTCTCTTAGACAAAACATAAATATTTTTATTTTCCAGTTAGCGTTGGTTAAGCCAAGCAGGTATGCTGTACCACAAATGAGGGGGCTGGTTCTGTTGTTCTATATGGTCTTATCATTGACTGCCTGGTTGTTTTTATTCCACGAGTTAAGTATTGTATTGCTTTGTGTTGTGGATATTAATGTGACTTTTTTTTTTTTTTTACTTTAAGCTGCTTTGGGAGGATCAAAATCCTGAAAAGCTGCACCTAAATTGCTAAATAAACTAAATAAACAAAATATACCTCTGTAACTTTATGTACATTTTATAACGGTAGTGCTCTATATCTTTGATTGGGTTGCATCAGAGATTTGCAGAGCTCAGAGGAGATCCCCTTTCTCCATCCATGGAAGAACCTATGGTAAATACATTTGAATTTACATTTGACTCATTGAGGCCCCCCCCTCCATTATCTGTTTCTTTTTTCATGCTAGCATGTCATGATTCAGTTTTCCTTACACAGCAGTGTGACAGGCTTTGATCAGAATCCATACATGACACCAGTCTGTTTTTATGGAAACTGAAGTCCCTAGGCTGTGTTTGGGCATTTACTTCATCTGCTCTGATTACTTTGTCATAATGCAAGTTATGACATAACGGGCATGCAGTCTTCAGTTGTCTTGCATTCTTCTGGGCTAAGGCAAATCTCTTTTTTGGGGGGGGCGGGGATTACATTGCAATGGAGACCCATACATAATTCTGAATTCTGAATGTGTGTAAGCATTGTTCATATAATTTGTCACCTTGCCTCTGACAAATCAGAAATTCAAATTTTAGCCTTCCAGAGCATGCAGTGACAGGGCAGTCAGTCATGTGTTACACCAATTTACAAAGTCAGGCTTCACATATATATATCAAATGTTTTAAGTAACTGCAAGAAGGGTTGATTGCATTAATGAACCCCCTCAGTTTAATGCCATTACTACAATACTCAAACTCATATATATAATAGTCTGTGGTGCAGTTGTTCTGGAAAATTTTGAAGTGGAAAATTCAAAATGGGCATATGATTTAGCATGTTTAGATGACTTACATTTAGTAAAAAAAATAGCAAAATTATATCATGTTAGTTTTACAGTGGTACCTCGGGTTACAGACGCTTCAGGTTACAGACTCCGCTAACCCAGAAATAGTACCTCGGGTTAAGAACTTTGCTTCAGGATGAGAACAGAAATCACGCGGCGGTGGTGTGTCAGCAGCGGGAGGCCCCATTAGCTAAAGTGGTGCCTCAGGTTAAGAACAGTTTCAGGTTAAGAACAGACCTCCAGAACGAATTAAGTTCCTAACCCGAGGTACCAGTTTATATGCTGTATAAATACAAGAAGTTATTCCAGTAGTCAAAAGTAGTTCGAACTGAAATAGCTATTTGCAGCAGTAGGGATAGGGTTCAATAAAGTGCACACAAAACAATCCTGTACATGTTTACTCAGAAGTAAGTCCCCCTGTACTGCATAGGATTTACTTCCTGGTGCGTGTGTTAAGGATTGTAGCCAGGCAGAGCACTCCAAACTCACTTTGTAGCAGGTTGGATGGTGATGGTGGATTGGGTAAAGGTGTCACCGCGCCCAGCGTGGGGCTTCCTTTTCTACCTGCCAAACATGTATACAGACAGAAGTGCTGCCAGGGGGATCCCCACCAGCAGAAGCCCTCAAAACGGTGTTCTGGAGGCAGTGAGGGGGAGGCCTGATTGCACAGCGATTAGCCTTTCCCCCATCCTGACATCCCATCCTGGCCATTGTGTGTGGTTGAGCTACAGAGGCAACTGTGGTCCCACTCCTCTGTAAAGCACTGCTGGTCAGTGGCTGGGACTTGGATTGTGGCTTGCTTCTTGCATTCAAACAACTTCTAAGGATTTCTTGGAAATCATTTTTTGTTGGAATGTTCTAAACATTCTAAAATATGGCAATACCATTCTCTATTGGTACATTATATTTTAAGGGGGAGGAATCAATGCCCTGAAAACACTTGAATCTACTATTTTTAGCTTCTCTGAAGATCAGTGCAAATATGTGCTCTCTAGGGATAGTCACTTGAAAAAAAGTTAATTGCAACTTTGATTTGACTAGTATTATATCACTTCCAGTTGCTCTGTTTGATTTGTATTGGCTTAGTGAGATGTGTATGAGAAGGAAGGAGCTACTGTTAGCCTTTGGCTCATATATCCCCACTCTCCCCACTCATAGAGGAGGAATTTGGCAGCTTTTTAAAAAAGAAATGTGTGCTGTGTTATCCACACAGGGATCCAGGTTTAGAACAAACCCTGGTTAGTTTAATAAGCCAGCTTCAGAAACAATGGTTTGAAGTACTCTTGCTTTGAAACCGACAATCGTTTGTTATAAGTTAGAATTCCAGGTCCAGATAGTCTAGCTAGCTGAGATTCAAGGGAGGCTGGGGTGCAGGGGTTGGGAGAGGGTGTTAACAAAGTCCTGCGCCTGGACACATGAAGTGGTGAAGAGTGTAGAAACCTCTGGTGCACAGCAGGCCCTTTCTGGTTGTACATGTCTTGGCAGATCATGGTTTAGTAGTGTGATGTGTTAGCCAGCAATGCCATCTTGATAGTATGAAGTAGTGTAGATAAATAAAAGTATTGGTACCTGAAGTTTCATTTAAATTTTATTTTGACATATATACATTTTTGGCTTGAACAATTGTTGATGCTATCTTTTGTGGAGACTAAATAACAGCCATGTTTTCCTACAATATACTGTACAAAATTATTTCATTAAGCCTAATTACATGTTAATCTAAGAAATGTTTAAAATTGAGGTAGCAGTTTAATGCTTTCTTTTCTTTCCCGTTCGTAGAGGAAAAAGATTGAATAATTTTAAAACTTGATTATTTTCCTAAATAAATAAAGTAAAAATAAATGGATTAATGTTATTAATTAAGCATCCTGTGCCCACCCCCCCACCGGCTTTATGAATGTAGTCCTGCCACCTGGTCAGCATTCATTTTTCAATATTTTAGTGGTAGGGCTTCTCCTGGAGTCACCTGAAATCTCACGTGAAAGATGTGGGTTCCTTACTTTAGTCCTGTCACTGTTCTCTCTTTGTCTCCAAAGAATCCCTTGGAAAGTGGTATGACATATCTTCCCATGCCAATAAGTCCACTGTACAGTAGAACAGGGGTGTGGAACCTTGGATCCTCAAAAATGTTGCAAAAATCAGCTCCCATAATTGCTGACCATTTGTCATGCTGGCTGGGGCTGGAGGGCCCCATCTGGAAGGCCGCTGATTCTCCATCCTATCAGCAGAACAAAGCGGTATTTAATAACATGTAGTTCAGCCACCTGAATAGGTGACTCTGTACAGTGGTACCTTGGGTTACAAACACCTTGGGTTACAGACTCCGCTAACCCGGAAGTAGTACCTTGGGTTAAGAACTTTGCCCCAGGATGAGAACAGAAATTGCGTGGCAGCGGCAGTGGGAGGCCCCATTAGCTAAAGTGGTACCTCAGGTTAAGAACGGTTTCAAGTTAAGAACGAACCTCTGGAATGAATTAAGTTTGTAACCAGAGGAACCACTGTAGTTACCATGAAAGCCTGAATAATACCTTTATTCATTTGGATATGGGGGAAATTTTCCCTTTGTCATCACTAATAAGGGTAAATAAACTTCCTTGGTGTGAAGTACAGAAGGATGCTCAAGTGTACAGTTTTAGTTAAACTCTATGGGAAAGGCTATCATTCAGTGGTAGAGCACATGCTTTGGATGCAGAACGCCCCAGGTGCAATCACCATCACCTCCAGGGCGGGCTGGGACACACCCCTGTCTGAAGTTCTAGACAGCTGGTGCCAGCCAGTTTAGTAGACATACTGAGTTAGGTGGACTAATAATCTAACTCAGGATAAGACAGCTTTTTATGTTATGATTACCCATTCTAAAACTTGTATCACAGTACTGGACAAGGTAAATTTCCAAAAGTATGGAGGAAAGGAAAGACCAGTGAGCTGGCCAGGAAGTGCTCAATGGACCTGGTGTGGGTTGAGGACTGAAAATCACAGTGTATCTTTCAAATTCTTCAGAGCATTACTACTACTATTCCATACTCTCATGGTTCCAAGTTGCTATTTTGTGCTTGTATAAGTCTTAATTGTGCACTTTTCTCTCATCATGTTTGTTTGTAAATATATGAATGACTTGCATTTCTGTAGTTTAGAGCCAAAATTGACATTGTATCTGGTTGCACATACCTCCAATATTTGCTGCTTCTTGTTGTTTTTGACATGCAAAGCAGTCAACTTCAGGAGAAGGGCTGCTTTAGTCTTTTCATTCAGGCCGTTTTACTGCTCAATAGCCCTTCACTGTGGAGCTTGGGGTTCCCATATCTTTTTGCTTCGGGGGGGGGGGGGAGCAACAGAACACAGTATTTTAAGCAGGAAAATGGTATGAGAGATTGATTTAAGCAGCCCCTGTGTCCTGCTGGTTCTCTGTTCAAGCTGTCACCAACCACAGCTGCTTTTCCTTAAAACAAATACATCAGAACAAAGTTACATGCAACTTACCATTCCAAGAGAAATGCTTAATGCCACTGTGTTTTGATTTCTTTTTTCCAGTTTGTGTTGATCTGGTCTGTAGATCAGATTATTTCATTGCTGTAGAATTCAGGGTACATGATGTGACACTTTGCATAATAAAAAGTGATGGCCTAATTAGGGGATGGTCACGCTTAGCTAACCAAGTGATGTATTATTAAGTTCAGCATAGGCTAGCAAAAGGGAACAATAGGCCAGCAAATAGCATTCATATTTCATTGGAGGGCCACTTACAGCTTGCTTTTATCTAGATTTTTTTCATGGTCATACATTTTGGTGATAATGAGACTGCATGGTTCAGGACCAATAAAAAGCATGTATTTTATCAAAATCACATTTGAATTTGCTTTAAAAGCAAAAGAGAGTTCAATGTGGGCAGACTTGTCACTAGCACATTAATGTCACAGGAGGCCAGGAATGTCTGCCTATCTCACAGCTTTCAAGCATTGACTTGCAAGGTAAAAAAGAAAAGAAAAGAGTTTTTGAATACCTGTGTGGTAGTGATTCTTATTGCTTATGTTTCTTTAAAGCATTTAAATTTATGTTTTCAGACCTGTCTTTTTGGATATTTTCTTTCACAGCACTGTTTCATTCCAGAGCTGTTTCATATTTTGGCTGCAGTCCTACACATATTTACCTGTGTCAGCTGTGTTAAACAAAGGGGGACCTATTTCCTAGTAAACATGCACAGGAGTGTACTATTAGAATAGTAGAATGTTTGCACCATACAGAGCACTCCTTTTATCTCAGCAATGGCACGGAATTAAATTTGAGAAAAATAATTTCATATTTTCAAAAAAGCTGTTTATAGAAGCCTTTCTAGTCAAACAGGGGCCGATCTCAAGACACGCTGTGCCTGCAGTTCTTATTGAACTTAATTTGTGTTATGACTGTTTATTGCCTTTTTAAAGAAATTATTCTGAAGTGTGTGGCTGGATGAGCATAATATTTGTGATGCTGCTTCAAGCTAAATGCATGAGTGATACAAAAATATGCAGATACCGTGCCAAATCTTATGTCACCCTAGAGCTCTTTCTTTTTATCTCTCCTAACTCATGGTGGTCAAAAAAATATGAGATGGACTCAAAGAGGAGAAGGCAATTGCTTGGAGACATTCCTATATCATCGTTGTCACAGGCTAGGTCTTGTGTAAGTGCTTTTATTGGCTTAAGAGCAGAATGCAGAGACGCCCCCCCCCCAGTGTATATTAACAGCATATAGGAGTGTGCCCCCTCCACTTACTGAACGTTGTAGCAAACAGTGGGACTTGCTGTTCTTTCTCCCCAACCCTAAACAGATTTACTTTTAAGCGAAGCAAGCTTTGTGGGAAGCGGAAGAATTTTGAAGGATGTATTATAACAACAACAACAACAACAATTTTATTTATACCCCGCCCTCCCCGGCCGAGACCAGTCTCAGGGCGGCTAACCAAATATATAATACATTAAAAACACAAAATCAAACGATTAGTTTAAAATACAATTCAAATCACATTTAAAATCAAAATAAAATTAAGTGGGAACCCATGAATCATAACCGTAGGGGTAAGGAATTAAAAGTTCACCAGGCCCGGCCACTTGTGCTGGTCCCATATGGGCCGATAGAAAGAGCCAAGGAGGCCACTTACGTACAGGGTCCCATAGAAAGAAGGGACTGGGCTCAGACCAAAGGCCTGGTGGAACAGCTGCATCTTGCAGGCCCTGGGGAAAGATGTCAAATCCCGCAGGGCCCTGGTGTCTTGTGACAGAGCGTTCCACCAGACTGGGGCCATGTATCCTCTTCCAAGTAGCACAACTGTACTCCAGTCTTCCAGTCATTACTCCAATCCCTTTTATTTGGGCAAGACAAGTCTGTATATGAGGACACCAAACAATTGTGACTGTGTCATAATATTTTTAGTCTTTCTATCTACCTGGTGTTACTTTTGCCCTGCTTAGGTTGGCTATTTAGTTCCCATTCTTCCACCCAAGCCCTGACTTGTGTGACTTCCCTGCCTCAATGTACCTTTTGGTACGGCTTTTGTCTTTGGGACACTTCTGCATGGAAAAAGTGACACAATGAAAGGGCTGGTTCTGTGCTGTTTTTATTGTAGTTATTTGTATGTTTTAAATATGTATTGAGTTGTAATTCTGTTCATGTTTACTTGTTTTTTAATAATAGGTTTTTTTTTCTATGTTTCCAGTGATTTTTGATTATATTTGTAAGCTGCCTAGAGTCTTGTTAGGGAAAAAGGTGGTGTAATAATAATAATAATAATAATAGGAACAACAGCAACAACAATATAAACACGATCCATTGCTTGCTCAATACATACATTCAGATAAGTGTAACTAGATTGTTCATAACTATTATTATTAAAATCTGTTATCCGCCTTTCACCCTAGGGTCCCAGGGTGGGCTACAACAATTAAAACAACATCAAAAAAGCTTATACCAAGAACAAACTTAGTTGGTCTCTAAGGTGCTACTGGGCTTTTTATATATAGAGATAGAGTTTAAAACAACTTAAATTATAAAAAAATGTACATCTCAAGTGTCAAAAGCCAGGGTAAAGAGGTATGTCTTCAGCATTTGCCAAAATGAAGATGCCAGATCCATCTCTGTGGGGAGGGAGTTGCAGAACCCAAGAGCTCCCACAGAGTGTGACCTCTCCCAGCCTCTCACCCCCTTCTCTTCCTGCCCCATGCACCGTACCAGATCAGCACAGGGGCTAGGCGGGGGGGGGGGGGTATTGAGAGAATCTCCCAGAACAGCACATGGTGGTAGGAGAAGGGTGCTCACACTGATTGAACGATCATAATAGTGCAACAATTTCTCCAACTACGTCAACTTTGAATGAATGACTTCTAACAAATACTCTATGCTAAGCATCACCATTTGAACTAGGTTACATCAAACATCACTTTAAATGATATTGAAGTAACAGAAGTTTCTGTTACAGATTCTCAGTCATATGAAGGACCGGTTGTGGGCTGATGGGTGTGATAGTTATTCTATATTTAAATTAATGCAGCTGGAAATGTTTCAGTCTCTATACATTCAGTCAAAAGTCTCATAAATACTTGTGAAAAGCCCAGTCAAGGAACTGCATTTGCAGTCACATAGTTAGGCTTTATGTTTACAATGTTAAGAGTTCACATAAGTAATTTTATAGTTTGATTGTTCATAGCCGAAGCATTTTTTATTAAGGAAATATAAAATTATTGGTAAATAAAAGGCACCCTTGTTTAAGAATTCATTTTCTGGTTACATGGTTTATACTTTATTTGCGGTTGAGAATTACAAGAAATTGGTAACAAAATTAAAGACAACCTTGGGCCGTTTCAGACAACCACTCTTGTGATTCTGGCTGCAAGGGAAAAATGCCTGTGACAAGTTAGTATTAATTTGAAGTTTGATGCCATATGCTAAAGCTAGCATGGATTGAATGTTAATGTTCAGTTGCAATTGTTTAATGGCACTATCATTTTATATTAGTATGAATATATAAATCATATCCTGCATCCCTCTTTAACTCACAGACCTTGGGCTGTATGCAGCATGCGACCCTGTACTGCAGTCTAACTGGGAAGAGCCACTAAAACATGACTTACAAAGCTGCTTAGCTACTAGGCTTGCATGTTTTGCTACATGTTACTCAGGGGATGGCCAGGGAGCTATGAATTAGACAGGCCTATTGTCTTAATGGAATTTCATTATGTCTCAAAAGTAATAAATGGAAATGGTTGAAATGATGGGCTTCTGCTGAATGTTTATATATGCAGTTCTGTGCAGTAGTTGATGTGTCTTATGGGGTTTAAACTTCTTATAGGGTCTAGACAAATTAATTGAAGATAAGGCTATCAAAACCTGCTAGCCGTCATGGCTCTGTACTATCTCTAGTATCGGAGAGGGTATGTCTCTGAATACCAGTTGCTGGGAATCACAGGTGGGGGAGAGTGCATTTGTGCTCATTCCGTCCTTCTGAACTAGACATGTGGTTGGCCACTGTGAGAACAGGATGCTAGGCTAGATGAACCTTTATTCTGAGATTCATTTTTTTTATACGAGTCGGGCTGATATCTCTACTGACTGCTGCTGTTAAATGTCAAGATGCTACATGCTGCCCAAAGTGATTTCAGTGGAGATGGTAATGAGCACCAGCAAGATAAAGTATAATATGACTAATAGAAGGCATTTGAATAGGCTGAATTGATTCTGAACAAAGCAGTATTTTCCCCCAGATCCTAAACTAAAGTGCAATCAGCATGCTATAATAACTCTGCTGAAAGAACCCACATCAACGGACTGAGAAATCTGATGATTAAGTAATGATAGATACTAAATGGTGCTCAGAATGCAAAGCACAAAGTTAACTATTTCAGAACTCCAGTTCTTAGCTGCAATTAATGTACATATAATTAGAGTATTGACTACATCTAGAGTCTCTGCAGTTGATCCTTTTCTCCCAGTCAAAACTATTTTCTTTGGTTTTTAAAAATATTTTTATCGTTTGGATCAGACGGATTATTAAAGTCCCCCTCCTCTCAGTTGTGGTGATCAAGATTGGGGTCTTTTTGGTTGTTGTGCTTTCATGAAATAATTCTGACATCAACAATTCTATTCAGTATAACAGAAGAGTGCATTAAAATTGTTGTTTTGTTACTTGCCTTTCTTTTTATTTTATTTATTTTATTTTTGTTCAAGCTTTTCGTTCCCTTATCTTGGGATATGGGCTTTTCTCTTGGTGCCAATGTAACTCTGAAAGCAAACAGAATAGGGATAGAAGAGGGCCAAGCAAGTGAAAAGAGGAGGAGGGCAGCAGCTGGAATGGATAAAATTCTATAGGTGGTTGTGTTTCATTTCTTCAGTCAAGCAATGAAGACTTACTCAAAATTGCTTTCAGCTCTGTGGTAAGACCTGCTCTGTGTTCAAGATGATGTCCATGTTACCCAAAACAATATGTTCACTTTCTGAGAAACTGAACTTTGAACCCATTTGGACAAATTCAATGAACATAATCTTTTAGAAAAATTGAGATGTCTTTACAAATTCAGTATTGTTTGCTTCTTCTGCTTAAGGGTCTTGTCCCTTTATGGAATGGTTGCAGTAAGGAGCATATTGAGGCTTTGCAACACAAGGACAGAATCAGCTCTGGCTAACTTACGTTCAGCAGGATTTTGCTTTAGCAGTTGTAGTGCTAACGCTTTAATATATTCATCATAGCAGCTAGAGTAGAGGATTCCTGTGCCTATCCCATGGACTTTGTTGCTCTAGATTGTTCCATTAGATCAGTTTAATTTACTAGCTGAATAAGTTCACACTTCAGCATAAGTGTCAAAGCGAAATATACTGTGCAAGGTGTTATGCTGCAGTGCGAAGGAAAAGGTAATAGGTGTTAATGATCAGAAGACTAACAAAACAGAAAAGAAAGAACTTCATCAGTGGAGCAATGCCCTAAATTATATTATCCTGAAAAAAGAAAATGTAGAAATTGTGGTGCTATTTTCTTCTTGTGCAGAAATGAAATTCTCCAAATGAACTGCACATAAGCTGAATTATATGTTTCAAAAGGGACAATTAAAACATTAATAGGATATTAATGAAATGTGTATATTAAATGCTAAAGGCTGGGAAGTAATCCATACCTCAGTGCTCAGTACCTGTAACGTGCTTTGTTGCTGCTTTATTGTAGCTGTTTAATAAGCCCATTTGAAATAATTTCCCTTAAGAATTGATTACATAAAATTGGTTCACAAGTCATTTCCTCCCTTCACCACCATAATTATTTTTTCCAATAATGTTATTGCAAGAGCCATTGAGAATGTGGCCCACGTAATACAGTACATATTTGGTAGTACTTAAAAGTATAGTTTCAATTGCTATTATTGGAAATTCTGATTAGTAGATGAACTGTTTTTTTGACAAAACGGTAGCATAGCCAAGGAGGGCTCATCAATCATCACCATTTTGGATTAGGTCAGTCATGCCAATGGAAGGCACCTGCTAGGTGAGAGAGAAGGCATGTTGCTGGATTCTGGAAAGGCTCACCACTGTGCTGTTTAAATATATTCATATAAAAAGGAGATTTCAAAGCAGATGGGAAACAGTATATAAGTTTAACAGATTTTGAACTTATTCTGAAATCTGCATTAAACACATACTGAATGCATCAGGGAAACCTGTGTATGTGTTATCCAAAATTTTGTTACATGCTACCTATTCTGCCAAAACAACCTTCGGCAGTGGAGCAAATATAACAGTGGACTGTTCCGCTGTATTAGAGATCATGATAATGTCATATGTGGTATTTTGCTACTGGTTCCTGTGGTCCTCTCAGCTGAAGAATTTGAGCATAAGACTGCTCCCTTAATAATCATTCTATTGATTTCCAAATTTTAGATGCACATCCCAGTTCTTGTATAGTCAAAATTCTCAAACATGAGAGAGGAATCAGACAGCCTGGTACTTTCAGAAGTACCTCGGAAAAGTTCTTAAGGGAATGGGGAAGCCCCCAAAACAGCCCCGTGTGGGACTGAGCATGTTCAGTTGCCTACCTGACTTATTGTAGAGGATGGAGTTGTGGAATGGAATACCAGATGAGAGAGGATACAGAGGAGTGTCCCGGGAGAAGGCGTGGCTCACTAGACTGGAAGAGGAAATAGGTACATTCTACTTTGCAACCTTTTGTTCTGTTTGATAGCCGGGGTAGCCTTCCCCTACCTGCCATTGCCCATATATCTTGGACTATGAGTCCAATCATCTCTGACCATTTTCCATGCTGCCTGGGGGTATGGGAGGTTTTCCAGATAGCTTCATCAGGCTAGATTGTAAATTAAACAGAGTGAGCGGGGGGGGGGGGGTTCCTGGCCATGAGCCTGCATCTGTCTTAAGGCAGAATATGGAAGGATTCTAGATTCTGTACAGCTATCAGTTTGCATAAAGGTCTTTTGGGAAGAAGAAATATAAAAATGGCTAGTTCCTGTTCTCTGGAACTGCAGAAACCACCTGTTATCTAGACTTGTCTTCATCTGTAAGTAAAACCCACAGGTTTTTTGATAGGTGAAGATATCCAGGTTGGCTTTTAAACCCAGAATACTAGCTGAAATTAATTTCTGTGGATTGCCCCCACCCCTTTATGGCTAATACAGAGATGCATATCCAGATTCTTTGCATCACTTTCCAGCACAGTGGCAAATAGCACTATTCCAAGCAGCAAACTAACTAAAATTAAAGTACAGTGTTTGTTTGAGAGAAAGTATCTGATTCCTCTGCAACAGTTGAATAAACTCTGGACACCCTTTACAAAACAAACAACCATCTTCCATCACTTTGTTTAACAAGGCACATTTTATGACTAGATAGAAAATGGATGCAAAGCCCCCCCCCCCCCCCGTCCTTGCCCAGCTGAACTGAAATTAATCATAGCAGAGTTATTGTGTAGAAAGTCATTATACTCAAGAAAGTTTTCCATGGTCCATGTTGCAAAAAATGGTGGAGATTGGGTACCTTGTGCCAACTTAGATGTAGATGACAATGACTGAGTTCCAGTTATTGTCTCATCCTCTTAGACCAGAAGTGAATGAAACTGGAGCTGTAGTTTTCCCATGCATGAAAGATTGTCTGCAAAAGTGCTTCTTAATGAACTACTTCAATTTACCCAATGTCACCTATGCAAAGTATATACCTGGTGCAGGTGCAACCAGAAAGCACCAAACTAAATGGACTCAGCAGTTTGTAATCTTCATCTGTGAAAGCACAAAGCAATTGATGTGGCGCCAAAAGCCACGGGACTCAATGGAACCCCGAAACCTATCATCATCATTACTGTTCTTATTTAACAACGGGATGGAATTTTGCAGACAAAATGTGATTTTTGTCAATAGTTTGGGAACGGCTTCTCAATTCCCCATCTACATGGAATGTCAACTGGCAATTTTCAGCATTAAAAATAAGATGAAAGAACTAACAGTCAAGCTGATTTTTCTTAAGTACATATTTAACCAGAACTCCCACACAAACAGTATGTGCCTTTTTTCTTTTTGGCTAGGAACCATTTATTTGTGAGATGATGACTCATCACTGGTTGTTGCTCTCAGGCTATTATGGACTGGTTCCCCAGGGTTTAGGGAAAGAGACTTAATTTGTATCTGTCGTATTAGCCGACTAGTGAAGGGAAAATGCATAATTCAAATAACTCAGTTTTGTTTGAACCATACTGATTTAAAATATGATCTTCCCTTCTTGCACTAGGAAGCTGATCAAGAATCCTGTCTACAGAAAAGATCTAACTTTTTGTGAGATTCAGAGACATGTTTCATTTGGAGAGAACAAATGACCCCTTACCAACTGACAGCTGTAAATACATAAAACGTTGAAGCTTTCTTGAGGCATGACTCCAAATGCCAACACAAAATCAATACTGAAAATCAATACAGTATATGTGCAGTAGTTACTTAATCATATTTTTTCTTAATTTATTTCGGTGACAGAGAGAGACAGATCCTTAAGGGCAAAAGTTCTGTTCATGTCAATGGAGATATACAACATTACACCCTCTATTGGTCTTGCTAGTATATCCACTGACAAACCGTGAACTAAATCCAGTGCAATTTCCATTACATATGTAATTTGTCAGCACTGAATGTGATTGTGACCTATACTGTAATCTCAGAATTTTGCAAAAATCTTCAAAAACTTTTAATTAATGCATAGTGGGTGGGCCCATTCATGAGAAATAGTGAGTATGATAAGACATGAATGTAACACAGTATGCATCCATAAATACATATTGGGTGAAATCCAGATCCATTAATACTACTAGGAATTTTGCCATTGACTTCTGTGCAGCATGTCATGTTCACTTTTTATCAGTGAAAGAATAAGAGAAGATACAAAATGTGTGTAAATAAGCATGGGTCATAGGATTGTTCAAAGACTCAGAATTAAAATTTCAGAATATCCTTAGCCAGATTTTCTCCAGAAAGCATTCTACCTAAGGACATCAAGGATAGTACAGTGGTACCTTGGGATACATATGCTTCAGGTTACATACACTTCAGGTTACAGACTCCGCTGACCCAGAAATAGTGCTTCAGGTTAAGAACTTTGCTTCAGGATAAGAACAGAAATTGGGCTCCGGTGGCGCTGCGGCCGCAGGAGGCCCATTAGCTAAAGTGGTGCTTCAGGTTAAGAACAGTTTCAAGTTAAGAATGGACCTCCGGAACGAATTAAGTACTTAACCCGAGGTACCACTATCATAGAATCATAGAATCATAGAGTTGGAAGAGACCACAAGGGCCATTGAGTCCAACCCCCTGCCAAGCAGGAAACACCATCAGAGCACTCCTGACATATGGTTGTCAAGCCTCTGCTTAAAGACCTCCAAAGAAGGAGACTCCACCACACTCCTTGGCAGCAAATTCCACTGTCGAACAGCTCTTACTGTCAGGAAGTTCTTCCTAATGTTTAGGTGGAATCTTCTTTCCTGTAGTTTGGATCCATTGCTCCGTGTCCGCTTCTCTGGAGCAGCAGAAAACAACCTTTCTCCCTCCTCTATGTGACATCCTTTTATATATTTGAACATGGCTATCATATCACCCCTTAACCTCCTCTTCTCCAGGCTAAACATGCCCAGCTCCCTTAGCCGTTCCTCATAAGGCATCGTTTCCAGGCCTTTGACCATTTTGGTTGCCCTCCTCTGGACACATTCCAGTTTGTCAGTGTCCTTCTTGAACTGTGGTGCCCAGAACTGGACACAGTACTCCAGGTGAGGTCTGACCAGAGCAGAATACAGTGGCACTATTACTTCCCTTGATCTAGATGCTATACTCCTATTGATGCAGCCCAGAATTGCATTGGCTTTTTTAGCTGCCGCCTCACACTGTTGGCTCATGTCAAGTTTGTGGTCAACCAAGACTCCTAGATCCTTTTCACATGTACTGCTCTCAAGGCAGGTGTCACCCATCTTGTATTTGTGCCTCTCATTTTTTTTGCCCAAGTGCAATACTTTACATTTCTCCCTGTTAAAATTCATCTTGTTTGTTTTGGCCCAGTTCTCTAATCTGTCATTTACTATACCTGTAAATGTTAGGCTTTGGGATGATGGTTTGAAGGAGTAGTAAATGACATTGTTAGATCAAAATAAATGTCTAAAATAGCACTATAAGCAGTACTATAGCTGCAAGCTAAATAAGATTTAAACTTGTGCAGATAGATGTTGTGTCTTGAATGATAGATTACAACCGGTTTTAACTTTGTGATGGCTGCTAGTTGTAAATAAGTAAGTTGAACTTATGAACTAGCATGTATTTGGAGTATGACAACACTCTCCTAGGTTGTGAGACCTGGGGTGGGAAGGTGAAGCTATAATCAGAAATTGCAATGGGTTGCATACAGTATCCAGTTCCTATCTTATACATTCCCAAGTTCAGTTTTCCAAAATTCTAAGTTAAATATTTCATTAGCATAATCTTTTAACAGAGATCAAAGTTTAAATTTCCCTTTAATATTATTCAAGGAAAATCCTCATTAACATTAATAGTAGTTCTGACTTTGAGTAGAGGGCAGAATTTGATGTATGGTAATATTGCATGCAACTAATGTTGATTTATTAAGCTGGGTATTTCCTTACTAAATCTTCATCATTTTTATTTTATCTCCGCAAACAGTTAACTCTGCTTTGTCTGCTAACTAGCTTGCAGTATTATTAAAAGTAATTGTGGAGAGAGATAATTGCAGAGACATACATAATGACATACAAGTCATTACCAATTGCTATATGCAATGAACTAAATTAGGTCACATACATTTTTCACCTTTGGGTGAAAAAGACAGAATGGGGCAATTTGAACTGGAAATGTATCTGCTATTAAACTTTATTTTCTATAATTTACAAATAAGCAATCAGTCTGGATTTTTTTGTACATAATTAATTGTGTTACATTCATGAAACAGTTGTTTTCAGTACTTATATGTAAGGCTGATTTCTGTGATACATACATAAAAAGAATGGAGGCAAGCCATGAGAAACTTTCCTAGTACAAGTTGTATTAACATGAGTGGAAGATCAAGGTGAATAGAACCCTTAATTCTGCAACATTCAACAAAGTTTGGAGGAGAGTTGATTGTCCACATTTTAGAGATGCCAGTGGATCCTACTGCTTTTCCATTCAAGGGCTCTAAAAAGACATCACCTTGCTGACAAAGGTCCAAATAGTTAAAGCTATGGTTTTCCCAGTAGTGATGTATGGAAGTGAGAGCTGGACCATAAAGAAGGCTGATCACTGAAGAATTGATGCTTTTGAATTATGGTGCTGGAGGAGACTCTTGAGAGTCCCATGGACTGCAAGAAGATCAAACCTATCTATTCTTAAGGAAATCGGCCCTGAGTGCTCACTGGAAGGACAGATCCTGAAGCTGAGGCTCCAATACTTTGGCTACCTCAGGAGAAGAGAAGACTCCCTGGAAAAGACCCTGATGTTGGGAAAGATTGAGGGCACAAGGAGAAGGGGACGACAGGACGAGATGGTTGGACAGTGTTCTCGAAGCTACCAGCATGAGTTTGACTAAACTGCGGGAGGCAGTGGAAGACAGGAGTGCCTGGCGTGCTCTGGTCCATGGGGTCACGAAGAGTCGAACACGCATAAACGACTAAACAACAACAACAAAATTTCAACACATTGGGAATGAATGCTAGTAAAGGCTCCCAGGGATTCACAAAGTGGATGCTGCACTGTGCCTGCCTTCCCCTGTTGCAAGCCCTGGAAGAATGACCATTGCATCATTTCCCTCCTAAATTTTGGGTAGTCCTGGCTGCATCAGAGTACCTTTCCTTGCCAAGGATTGGGAGTAGAGCTACATATTCCAGAATCCTCAGGAGAAGCTGGTTCTCTGTGTTTATTTGTTTGTCCTGAATCTCCTTCCATTCAACTCTAGGTTCCATAATTTTGAAAACAGAGGGAGAAGGAAAAACCCATGCATAATTTATACACCTTTAACACATAGCAGGTGTCATGGAAAATCCATCATGCCTGTATGTATAAGTATGCAATTTTGCATAATTTTAATGCAGCTTTTGGCTCATTCTAACTTGGTGACTGTCTCCTGATGCAAAACATGTTGTTTATCCCTGATTTAAGTGAAAGGTTTGTCTAAATGTTGCTTCAAGCATATAGCTCCACCCACTTTTGACTTCCTGTATATTATTAATCCGCATTATCACCCATTTCTGCTTAGTTAAACTATCCATATGGCAATCTTTTGGGATCCACTGTGAGGTTCTTTCTAGTGTTAATACACTTTAAGTTTGGATGCTACTCAACTTCATGCATTCAATAATGAAAAAGCTTTCAAAGAGGCACCTTTAAATGTGTGAAAGAAATTATTTGTTTTCTTGTTTTTCTTTGCAATATACTTAGTTATTGTTTAACTGTAATCTTTCTTTCTTTGTAGTGTATGTAATAAGTAGGGTTTGGAATTCACTGAACACTTTAGCCTTGCTTAAGCTATTAATCTCAGCAGCCATTTATTGGTTTGTATGCTACAAAGCAAGAGAGATTATCCCTTAATTAATTCCACTGAGAGGGTTCAGCTGCCGTCATCAACCACAATATAGTTTCATGAATTAATGTTGCATGGAAAATATAATGGAATGCATAATAAAATAGAAGTTAAAATACCAGTTATAAAAGTAGAAATAATATGCAAGAAACTTGGATGTGTCATATTAAACATATCAAACATAACAGCTATTAAAAATATGGGCACGATCCATTTAGGTAATTACACATTCTTTAAAATGTTTTCAATTGCAAAGACTTTATGCATATCAAAATAGGATTTATTCTCAACTGTAATTAGAACTGAAGCATTGTTTATAATAATTAGGAGGCAATTCAGTGACCAGTAACACTCCTATAATTTATCTGAGGTCATGGGGATTACACTAATACAAGTGGCCATTGAATAGCAATACTGTAATTAATGATATGAATAATAATAATATTCCATTACAAAAAGATGAAATCTTGCACAAACAAAAATCAATGACAGCCTTGCTGTCTTAGCTGGGACTTTATCCAATCTGGGCACATGAAAGAAACATAATAGGAGATTATTGCAGCTTGAAGTGTGCTCTCATTTTCTTTTGTTATGTGTTTTGGAGTTCTATAAATTGTTTGGAGAAGTATACTTTGTTTTCCATTTTTATGGTTTATTGGCACAGTGCAGTCACTTTTCCATGCTACCAAGCATTTTTATTCCTCTGTTTCTATTCTATATATACTTTAATTACATCTACAGCACCATTTCATATTACGTTGGATTACAATCCAACTTTTATTATATATTCTTTTTGTTCATTTTCCATCATAAATGGTTTATTTAATGATATATATGTAGCTTTGAAAAGCTGGTCTCTTGCAGTCATTTCTATATCCGGGGCCAGAGATATTCCGTCACAGATGAAACCGCTATTCTTGGATCCAGCATTTTACAGCGTGACTTACTTAACAAAATACTCTGTTGACTTAACCCTTCAAGGAAGTGCATTAAGTTAGCTCCTCCATTCATTGTGAACCTTTCTCTGTCACCACTGCTGCCACAACCTATCTGCTCCTGCCGCTGTTGCCTGCTCTGCTGCCGCTGCATGCCCTACTACATTCACCTCTGGCAGAGAAGTGTGCTGCCATCAGCCAATTTCAGGCAAGATGATGCCGATAGTGGGTGAGGTCTCGCCCAAATTGGATGCGATCTTGCCCAAAATCGGTGCCAATGGCAGAGACAGTGGGGCAGACTGTTTACCTCACTTTTTTGTGTATGGATGCTGCTGCTGGGCGTCGTTAAAAGGATTGGCACTTAGGTAACTAACAGTTCACTGTTAGTATATGCTGTATGTTGATATGAATAGAATATTCAGCACTGTTACTGCAGTGCACCTTATAACTATCTAGCATTTTAGAAAAATCTTGCCAAGACAAGGTGTTTCCTAATCATCTTGGTTAATAGCCAGTGATGTTTTGAGTTTGTCAAATCTTTTTTTGAATTTACTTTACTATTTGCAAACATATGCTGGATTATGGAGAAAGCTAGAGAGTTCCAGAAAAACATCTACTTCTGCTTCATTGACTATGCAAAAGCATTTGATTGTGTCGACCACAGAAAACTGTGACAAGTTCTTAAAGAAATGGGGGTGCCTGATCACCTCATCTGTCTCCTGAGAAATCTCTGTGGGACAAGAAGCTACAGTTAGTACTGGATATGGAACAACTGATTGGTTCAAAATTGGGAAAGGAGTATGACAAGGCTGTATATTGTCTCCCTGCTTATTTAACTTATATGCAGAATTCATCATGCGAAAGGCTGGACTGGATGAATCCCAAGACGGAATTAGGATTGCCAGAAGAAATATCAACAACCTTAGATATGCAGATTTCACAACCTTGATGGCAGAAAGTGAGGAGGAATTAAAGAACCTTTTAATGAGGGTGAAAGAGGAGAGTGCAAAATATGGTCTGAAGCTGAACATAAAAAAACAACACTAAGATCATCACCACTGGTCCCATCACCTCCTGGCAAATAGAAGGGGGAGAAATGGAGGCAGTGAGAGATTTTACTTTCTTGGGCTCCATGATCACTGCAGATGGTGACAGCAGTCACGAAATTAAAAGACGCTTGCTTTTTGGGAGAAAAGCAATGACAAACCTAGACAGCATCTTAAAAAGCAGAGGCATCACCTTGCCGACAAAAGTCTGTATAGTTAAAGCTATGGTGTTCCCAGTAGTGATGTATGGAAGTGAGAGCTGGACCATAAAGAAGGCTGATCATCAAAGAATTGATGCTTTTGAATTATGGTGGTGGAGCAGACTCTTGAGAGTCCCATGGACTGCAAGAAGATCAAACCTATCTATTCTTAAGGAAATCAGCCCTGAGTGCTCACTGGAAGGACAGATCTTGAAGCTGAGACTCCAATACTTTGGCTACCTTATGAGAAGAGAAGACTCCCTGGAAAAGACCCTGATGTTGGGAAAGATTGAGGGCACAAGGAGAAGGGGACGACAGAGGACGAGATGGTTGGACAGTGTTCTTGAAGCTACCAGCATGAGTTTGACCAAACTGCAGGAGGCAGTGGAAGACAGGAATGCCTGGCGTGCTGTGGTCCATGGGGTCACGAAGAGTAGGACATGACTAAATGACTAAACAACAACAACAATAATTCACTGTTACGACATAACAGCACATTACAAGGATCAATTCATTTCGTATCGTGTAGAGGAAATGACCTTTGTTTCTTTGAAGGCCTTTCTGCTTTGCAGATATAATCAGTTTTTAAAAAATGATTGCACTTTCATGACTTGCCCAAGGAAGTTTGAGAACTAACTTTTTTCTAGGGTTGTGAGCAATATTAAACCCCCTTTGCAGAAATTCTGTGTGGTCTCAATAGTGTTTCACTGTGAGCAGCTGCATCTACTGCAGCATCATGTACAATAAATTCCAAGCATCTTCCTTTTGAGAACTGACAAGGGGTATACCACTCAGTGCCTTGTTACCTTCTCAGTTTATATAAGGATAGATGTTGGAATGGTATTGCCTGTAAAAGTTGACTAGGTTCAGCATTTGACTGCACTCAATATATGAATAGCTTTAGAGGAATAACTTTAGAGGTGACTTCAAAAATTTGATCTGTGGTGTCGATTTGCAGTTGTTTCTATATGCAAGTTACTACTCTTATGTGACAGCAGTCACGAAATTAAAAGACGCCTGCTCCTTGGGAGAAAGGCGATGGCAAAGCTAGACAGCATCTTAAAAAGCAGAGACATCACCTTGCCAACAAAGGTCCGTATAGTTAAAGCCATGGTTTTCCCAGTAGTGATGTATGGAAGTGAGAGCTGGACCATCAAGAAGGCTGATCGCCGAGAATTGATGCTTTTGAATTATGGTGCTGGAGGAGACTCTTGAGAGTCCCATGGACTGCAAGAAGATCAAATGCATACATTCTGAAGGAAATCAGCCCTGAGTGCTCACTGGAAGGACAGATCGTGAAGCTGAGACTCCAATACTTTGCCTACCTCATGAGAAGAGAACACTCCCTGGAAAAGACCCGGATGTTGGGAAAGATTGAGGGCACAAGGAGAAGGGGACGACAGAGGACGAGATGGTTGGACAGTGTTCTTGAAGCTACAAACATGAGTCTGACCAAAGAGTCGGACACGACTAAACGACTAAACAACAACAACAACAACTTTATGTTGAAGTTGTTGATGATGCACTCACCCTGGATATAATTGAGGGTGGTGTGCTTGTTATATGGCTGTTTTGTAGCTCTTTATTTTCTGAAAACAAATAGCTGGTGTGTGAATGCGAAGCCATATCTGGAATATGCTATCAGGAAGGGGAGTAAACCCTTTGCTTCTGCTGCGGTCCCAGTCAGACTCCCTGTCCCCACCCACCCCATGCTTATTGTTCACATAGGATAAAATCCCACTGCAAACAGCACATGTGGGCAACCTGTTTCCATCTGGGACAAAGATTTAAATCTCCCTACTCCCCACAGAATGGTGCTGATCCCATACTGATTATTTGTGAAAGAGAAAGCCACACAAAACCAAACCAGATGACAAGTGTACATCTGGCTTGGTCCTTTGTTAAGAAGAGGCGCTTCTATGAAACTGGGAATTCCAAAAAGGAGAGAGAAACAAAATAAAACAATAAATCTAACTCATATCCTTGTTTTTTTCTACTATGGTCATTTACCATATATGCATGTAATTATATCTGCCCACATCCTTTCTTCTTGTCTTTACTGTTTATTTTAACCACTTTGCATCAGGAATGTGTTTGCTGCCTGTACAACAGTGTAAGCGACCACGTACAATTTGAGGCATCTGCAGTGTCCTAAATAAAAGTGGTAATATAAAGCACCAGTACATTTTAAATGAACAGAGGGTCTGAATTTTTTCTTCCATGAAGGAACAGTTAACTCTGAAAGGGAAATGGTTGGTAGTTTTTAGTGAACATCATTTGGGAGTTATAAAACTTGATATAGAGAAAATGACTAAGTGGAAACTAAAATCTTAGTAAAACTCCTATAGTGATATGATACAATTTTAGTGTTTTGAAGGGAGAGCATGTCTCATTTACTATGTTCTTTCCAGAGGGCTTAAACTTACAGAAATTGTGTCACTAATGTTGTTGTTGTTGTTTAGTCGTTTAGTCGTGTCCGACTCTTCATGACCCCATGGACCAGAGCACGCCAGGCACTCCTGTCTTCCACTGCCTCCCACAGTTTGGTCAGACTCATGTTTGTAGCTTCGAGAACACTATCCAACCATCTTGTCCTCTGTCGTCCCCTTCTCCTTGTGCCCTCCATCTTTCCCAACATCAGGGTCTTTTCCAGGGAGTCTTCTCTTCTCATGAGGTGGCCAAAGTACTGGAGCCTCAGCTTCACAATCTGTCCTTCCAGTGAGCATGTCACTAATAGTTACCTCCAAGTGTTACAAATTGTGGATAATTGTGTATTTTTCACTTCTTCAGTAATGATAGTTAGGATAAGCAGATTAAGTAAAGCATAATGGAATCCAATATTTAAAACATATGTGATGCCAGTGTGATGTTAATTATCTTAAATCTCTTTTTAGTGAATACTTTTTCTAGTATTTTCTACCTTTTACATCTTGTAACTCATTGGTGGGTACTTCATGAGTTTCTTGGGGAAAAGAGGTATTGTGGCTTACCCAATATAAAAGGAAGTCAAGAAAAACCTAAATAGTCTGGGTTGTAGCAGAAGTCAGACAAAAACAACTGATACCCATGCTCCTAGAACCCTGCCTGACTCTTAATGAGAGGTCAATGTAGAAGTTGGAGATATTTTGCTTGCAGGAGCAGACTACGGTTTAACCTTGCAACTTTTTTTTTTTTTTTAAGTGAAGTGTTTCACTTGACATGTTATATAAAGCAAGGGTTTGCAAATGTTTCAGGTTTGTTTTTATGTATTGCATTTGATTTTAAACATTTTAGGCTGCTTTTCCAAAGCACTAAAGCAAGCAAACAAAAAGTGTCACTACACTTTTGTAACTTTGATTTATGCCTCTGGAAGTGCTTTACAACACAATCCTATGCATATTTACTTAGAAGTAAATCCTGTTAATTTCAGTGAGGCTCCCACCCATGTAAGCATGAATAGGGTTGCATCCTTAATTGCACTCCTAACTAGCTTTGTGCCAACAATTTCTACTGTGCTTCCCTCCTGCTCCACAACCATTCTCCTTCAGTTACTGAGAAAAGGAATCACATTTGAAAATTATCAAAGGAACAGACAATTTTCTCCATGAAAACAAAAGCCCTGGAATCCCTTAGATATCTGAACCAACTCAGCCATATTTAAAATGTTATGTCTTTCTTAACTTTTAAACATTATCATGCTGCTCCAGAGTGAGATTTGAATTATAGGTAGAACCAATTTCTATAGCATATTTATGCTTTCCCAGGTAAATGTGCAGAAAAGAGATACATTTTGTGTGTGCTTTCTCACTCTTTTATCTCCTTGCATGTGACAGAAAACCCTTCAGGATAATATAGATGTTATTTACAGTCTGTGACCTCCCTCTGCCTTTTTCAGTGCCATGTAATCCTGACTCTGGTGTGTTTGGTCTAGCATTTGGTCACGCTGCAGAGTATGTCGCTGGACCAGAAATGAATTGACTTCAAAATCTGCTTATTTGGTTATGCGATTGACAATAGGATTCCACTTACTTGGGAGTGATTTGTGGCTCATGTAGGCTAGATAGTCTTATCATTGCTATTACATAACTAGTTTAGTTAACTTGTACAGTTGTAACTTAGTTTTTGAACAGCTTAGTAATCGGAACGTTTTGGCTCCTGAACACTGTAAACCTGGAAGTGACTGTTCTGTTTTGCAAACTATTTTTGGAAGCCAAACGTCCAACGGGGCTTCAGCAGCTTACGATTGGCTGCAGGAGCGTCCTGCAGCCAATCAGAAACTGCGCTTTGGTTTCTGAAGATTTTGGAAGTTGAATGGACTTCTGGAACAGATTCTGTTCGACTTCCAAGGTACAACTGTATCCAATTCCCACTAGACTTGGTGGAGCCTCCACTACCACCAAGTACTCACGGTGACTTAGAATCAGGCATATTGTTCACACTTAAAACCCGGAGGTAAAGCTGTTAAGGTCATATTGATTCCCAATCTGTTTACTATGGCATTAGTTACCCCTCCCAGTTTGGTGTCATCTGCAAATTTGATGAGCGTCCCCTCAGTTCCCTTGTCCAAGTCGTTTATAAAGATGTTGAACTACAGCACAGTCAGAGGTGAGGAGTGAGGAGGCACCGGGGAGACTGTCACACTGCATCCCACATGAAAGTGGATGAGGCCCACTCTTAGATAAACACTATTTTAAATCATTCTCATTGAAATAAAAAAGGCTTCACTTTGGCTGGGGTGTCTCCAGTGTTTTCTCTTAACAGCACATTTCACGAAGCCATTTACAGGAAAAGCATATTAATAAAGAAGTGGTATTCCAATTTTATTGCTCCATAAAAATAAGTAATAAAAACGTCGCTGTTATTTTGTACCTCCTTGCTTCTGTTTTTGGTCCCAGCATGCTGTTATGCTAAACACAGAATTTCCTGTGAAATTTGCAGTAAATCAGATTATATGGAAGCAAGATTTAAGGCAGGCATAGGCAAACTCCGGCCCTCCAGATGTTTGGGACTACAGTTCTCATCATCCCTGACCACTGGTCCTGTTAGATAGGGATGATGGGAATTGTAGTCCCAAACATCTGGAGGGCCAGAGTTTGCCTACGCCTGATTTAAGGAATACTTTAATTTGGCTAACTGTTAATATTTGGTGATGGCTGCAGGATAAATCTCTCAGTTCTTCTGCAGTCTTGTTTATTTAAAACTTACCTGAAATCTTAATCCTAGACTGTAAAATAGTCTTACCTGAAAAATAGTCCTACCTAGACTGTAAATGAACCTTTCATGGCATATATACCACATCAGAGTTGTGCTTTTGTTATGCAGAACTATTATTTCATTGAAGTTGTTGATGTCAGCAAGGCTTAAGTTGTCCCATGACTCTGACAGGATCACCTAGAATGGCGCAGGTAAATCCATCAACTGCCTTCCTGATATATTGTAGCATGTTAATACCATTAAAAGATGTCTGCTTCTTGGGAGAAAAGCAATGATATATCTAGACAGCATCCTAAAAAGCAGAGACATCACCTTGCCAACAAATGTCTGTATAGTTAAAGCTATGGTGTTCCCAGTAGTGATGTATGGAAGTGAGAGCTGGACCATAAAGAAGGCTGATCGCCGAAGAATTGATGCTTTTGTATTATGGTGGTGGAGCAGACTCTTGAGAGTCCCATGGACTGCAAGAAGATCAAACCCATCTATTCTTAAGGAAATCAGCCCTGAGTGCTCACTGGAAGGACAGATCTTGAAGCTGAGGCTCCAATACTTTGGCTACCTCATGAGAAGAGAAGACTCCCTGGAAAAGACCCTGATGTTGGGAAAGATTGAGGGCACAAGGAGAAGGGGACGACAGAGGACGAGATGGTTGGACAGTGTTCTCGAAGCTACCAGCATGAGTTTGACCAAACTGCGGGAGGCAGTGGAAGACAGGAGTGCCTGGCGTGCTCTGGTCCATGGGGTCACGAAGAGTCGGACATGACTAAACGACTAAACAACAACAACAACAATACCTTTCACTTCTTACTACAACTGTTTCCCCATTGTACGGTGAACATGTGGAGAGGATTGTACACGCTGTTGCTGGTCTTAACTTCCATGTACTCATGCACATGTACAGTGGTACCTCGCAAGACGAATGCCTCGCAAGACGGAAAACTCGCAAAACGAAAGGGTTTTTGGTTTTTTGAGTTGCTTCGCAAGACAACTTTCCCTATGGGTTTGCTTCGCAAGACGGAAACGTCTTGCAAGTTTGTTTCCTTTTTCTTAAAACCGTTAATACAGTTGTGACTTGACTTCGAGGAGCAACTCATAGCACGCGGTGTGGTAGCCTTTTTTGATGTTTTTGAAGACTTTGGTGATTTTTGAAGCTTTTCCAAAACTTTTCCGACACCGTGCTTCGCAAGACGAAAAAAACCGCAAGACGAAAAAACTCGTGGAACGAATTAATTTCGTCTTGCGAGCCACCACTGTACAGTGGTGCCCCGCAAGACGAATGCCTCGCAAGACGAAAAACTCGCTAGACGAAAGGGTTTTGCGTTTTTTGAGTCGTTCCGCAAGACGAATTTCCCTATGGGCTTGCTTCGCAAGACGAAACGTCTTGTGAGTTCTTGCGAGTTTGTTTCCGTTTTCTTAAAGCCGCTAAGCTGCTGATAGCCGCTAAGCTGTCGCTATAGACGTGCCAGAAAAAACCGCAAGACGAAGAGACTCGCGGAACGGATTAATTTCGTCTTGCGAGGCACCACTGTACAACTTTTGTAGACTTTGTGTGGTTTGAGAACTTTGCTTTTCCACAGTCCTCGAGTATACAGAGAGAACCTTACTTGCACACAGTGTTATATGTATAAGCTCTGTTCAGATGTTCAGCTGAATGCACAGACGTCAGGCTGCACTGAGATCTGCAGCTACTTCTCCCCAGTCCGCATGTCCACTGAACACTAATATGTTGTGAACAGTGCTTTCAGTTGTTACCCCATTCAGGAATGTAAGGTTGATGTGTGGGGATCATTTCCACATAATATTTTTCATTGTGGGAATCCTTCTGCATGTTTCCCAATACAGGATCTCATGCTGGAACATTCAAGAACACGAGGATAAATTAATTATAGAATGATGACCTTATCCCAACCTCTCTATCTCCTGGGATTTTTCTCTTGGAAAAAAGCTACTGCAGCAGTCGGGAGATTGGGGAACCTTTTACTGAAGGATATGTTCATGGATTACTGCTATATTTATCTCCTCTTTTTCTGCTGGACTCTCATTGCTGGATTTTGTAGTAAAGGAAAGATGGAGAAATTGGAGGTAGGGATTATTACCCCTCCCCTTAAACTCAAGTTGCACAGGAATCTTTGCTGCACCTTTTCTAGTAGTTCTTTGCATAATAAAACTTAATTATTGTCAAATTCTGGAGGAGGCTGGAACAGATGGAAGCTCTTCCTTCTGTGCATCCTTGTGTGGTTCTAAAAACAGGACTTTCAGCTTTCTCCCTTTTCTGCTGGAAAGAACTGATTTGTACTTTTAGACGTTTGCACTCTGGCCCCAAATCCATTTACACTGAAGAAAATCCCACCAGTAGAATACTTACAAGTATATTCCATCAGTGGTACTTTTCCTCGGCATAAATGGATTTGGGGTCATAGCGTAAGCATCTAAAAAGACACTTCAGTTCTTTCAGATAGAAGGAATTACCTAAAGTCATGAATACCTTAAATCCTGTAGTAAAAATACAGTGGTACCTCGGGTTACAGATGCTTCAGATTACACGTTTTCGGGTTGTGCACCATGCCAAACCCAGAAGTCCTGGAACAGGTTACTTTCGGGTTTCAGCACTTGCGCATGCACAGAAACACTAAATTGCGCTTTGCGCATGTGCAGAAGTCCAAATCGCAACCCGCACGTGCGCAGACATGGCGCGGTAGGTTGTGAATGCTCCAGGTTGCAAACGTGCCTGCCACACGGATCATGTTCACAACCCAAGGTTCCAGTGTAGTGAGTTAAAATACTGAGTTCATACTTAAACTTCACAGTATAACTCACTCCCCCCCCCATTTTTTCTACTGGAAATGTTTTTCTACTAGAAAAAATAGGATATATAATGGCCTGGTTCACAACATTAAACTATGGTTGACACCAGTCTATGGTTAACTCTACCCTTCAGTTAACAGTCACCACAGTTCATGCTGATTCAGGCATAATTAGTAATTGTGGTTACTTGAAAATGGAAGTGAAAGCTGACTGGTAATAACTAAGGCTGAGATCCTATACAAACTTCCCTGAAATGAGCCTTATTTAACGCAATGTGATATACTGTTGAATAAATATGCACAGGGATTCGACTGAACAGCTGTAATCTTGTGCAAAATAAGAGTGCTGAAATCCTTTCAAAGTCACTGGGATTGGCAGCCTGATTCTGAATATGTGTACTTAATAAAACACATTGAATTCAGCGGGACTTTCTAGAAATATGCATATGCTCAGAAGCATGTTTTTGCTGGTGCTGCGTCCTTTTTTCTTTGCCACCAAGTAATTAAGTGGGCAAGAGGCAGTGACAAGGAATAGCCACTATCTCACTCACCTGCTCTCGCACTTGAAGTAGCTCCCATCCATAGGGACCCACTTGGTATGATTTTGGTGTCTGGTGATGACAGCTCCTCCTTAGCTACAGTTGGTTATCACTTGACACTGATGTTAGTGCGTCAGGTGGGGCAGCTGTGTGGTTAGGACTGGAGTCTAAAGCAAACTAATTGTTGTCAGGTTTGCATACTTACGGTGACATTAAAGAGGGACCAATTATGCATACTAAATTTGCAGAACTGCTGAAAAGAGGACAGGATTCATGTATCAGCATGAAGTAACAAAGAGAGTATTGGAATTGGAAGTATCTTTCTAATCAGTGCAATGATGGTTCAGACCATAAGAGAGTAGTTCTCTGTCAGTAATAATGCTGGAAAGGTAGTACATTAATTTCTGCTAGATACCTATAATCTCATTTCATTGAGATTGCTATAGTGTTACCTTCTCTGGGTTCTCTTCTTGTCTCTCCAAAATGCCTATGTCAGTATTTTCATGTATTTTACGACTCCTCCATGCACAAGAAGTCTGTTTAAGCAAAAGGAAATCAAAATATAAGCCTTCTATGTGTTTGGCCAGTAAGGTGTTTGGCAGCCTGATTCTGAATCACTGATTCTGAAGGACCCCTGGACGGTTAAGTCCCATCAAAGGCGACTATGGGGTGTGGTGCTCATTTTGCTTTCAGGATGAGGGAGCCAGTGTTTGTCCACAGACAGCTTTCTGCATGACTAAACCACTTCTGGCGCAACAGAACACCGTGACGGAAGCCATAGCGCACGGAAATGCCATTTACCTTTCTGCCACAGCAGTACCTATTTATCTACTTGCATTGACGTGCTTTTGAACTGCTAGGTTGCAGGAGTTGGGACACAGCAATGGAAGCTCACCCCATCACTTGGATTCGAACTGCCAAACTTCCATTCTGCAAGCCCAAGAGGCTCAGTGGTTTAGATCACAGCAGTTTGGCCAATATCTAAACCTTGGTGCCAACATTTAGTTTTAAGGCTGTTTATAAGCCTGATATAATGTGAGGTTGCAGCCACATAGGCCAGCAGATGAAGAAAAAGGAGGCATGGCAAATCAGAGCATAGTTGTAGTAGGCAGAGAAGCAGGCCTGGTTACTGCATGACCAGATTTTTAAAATTGCCACAGTGAGCTGTGGCATCTGATGCAGCTAAGAATTAGAAGATTTTAGCAGTTTGGTTCCCATTAGTAGAGTTCCTTTGATATTTGGAAATGAATGTTCGAGTCTAATGGAACAGATTGCCGCAAATTTGTTGATACCTTCCAGTGTTAGTCAACTACAGGTGCCAGTTGTACCGTAATTGCTGGGTATACTAATGGACTCATCAAAGTCAGATGTGCCTGTTCAAAGAACAGGATCTGATGAGCAAATTGCTGTCACAGCAACTATGAAAGGTGTTACATTTCCCTATCATAAATGCATTAATGCTAGACAAAGAAACATGTTCAATTTCTTTGGAACTAAAATATTTCTATACTTCAGAGTCATTTGTTGTCCATTCAGATTCATGTATGAAGAAAGCATTAGGTTGTCCTCCATACTTGAAAACTTTATTGGGTAGCATTTAAATATTGTAAATAAATAAAGAAGGGGTCTTTTTCCACTGGAGATAGATAGATAGTTAAATGGCTACAATTTTACCATAGTTATACAGTATAACTGACCTTCTAAATGTTGGGAACAGTATTGCTGTAGGTTTAAAACTGTACTTGCTTATCAGAGCTGTCAATGACTTATTGATTACTTAATTAGTTTTCTAAGCTGCCTAATCAAGGGTAGATGTCGGTGTCTATTCCTGCCAGCTCAACATTTAGAAGAACTGTGAGAACCTAAGCAAATGAAATAGATTTGAGTATTCTGAACTGGGCAGACGAGTGCATTCATTACAACATGAAAATAAAGCATACACTGGGGAATGACTATTTGCATTAATTTTCTGTAGGAACGACAAACAGTTTCTTTTTTGCTGTTTTTTAATCTTTTATGGGGTTATTTACTTAGCTACCCTGGATCTAACTTACCAATGATAATTTCATATTATGTGCAAACGTGTAACTGAGATTTGGGGCTGATTTTTCTTAAAGGAAAATTAGGTTGGAGAATTTGGATCATGGGTATGGTAATGGGATGCTTAATATTTTCCCCACTTTCTCTTTCTCTGTTCCATCCCTTCCCCTGCTTTTTGCAAGGTTGGAAGATGGCTTCTATTGAATCAGAATATTGGTCTATCTAGTTCAGTATTATCAACTCTGACTGGCAGTCTCTCCCCAGGGTTTCAGATATGAGCCTCTGCCCCCTTCTCCCAGGGTCAGAGGTTGAACCTCCTCCATTCAAAGCAAGTGCTCTTATACTTAGTGGCTTTCAGTTTCTGATCTCCCTGTGTGTTCAAAATGTGCCTTTTTGTGCTTAAGATGGTGGGAAGAAAGCCATGCATATAATGCATTTTGGAATGGGGAAATTGTGGACATGGAAAGGATTGAGCTCATTGCCCCCATATTTCATCCCCCTTCCTTGACAATAATTAGTTTCTACTTAGGTCATTTAGTGTTCCTACTTGACCCGATTGGTTAGTCTTTTAATACTGCTTTAGTTACCTTAAATCCTGTTGGAATGCATTACCATCCAGTCAGATTCTCTTGAGAATTGACTGTGTTAAAATTTATTTGTCAAGTGACTTTTTAAGAGAATACTCCAAAGTAAGTTACTTGTGAGATGTTAATGAAAGTGCAGGTTTGAATGGAGAAGACGTAGGGATAAGGGATGGGTAAGGGCTGTAATCAGCTGGTTTATAATTTTAAAATTATTTCACATTTTAAAAGAGTAATGCTTCAATAAATAAAACCCAGGTGACAAATATCTTTGAAGTCCCTGAGCTCCTTCAGGAGGAAGGGAGGGATATAAATTCAACAAATATATGAAAGTACGCAGTGTTTCTCATCAACAGTTTCAACGATAGGTTCCAAATACTTGAAACTCTTCATAGCTTAAATCTGCTTGCTGTTTTTGTAATCCTGGAAGACTATTTTTGACTCTGTCACCAGGCAGGAGGAAGAATATGAGTTTTTCATTATAGTAAATCTTTCATTTGACTTAATCTAAGTTTTGGTGAAATATTCTAAATAGAGCAAGGCCTAGTCTGGTTGGTGAATGCTTGACATAGTTCAAAATGGTGGCAATCTTTAATTTTTTTATAGTGTTGCCTCGCACCATGGACTTATTGTACATGTTGTTCAAGATGGTGTAAATCTGTATTTGTCCTGTTAAAGCTAAAGTGGATTCCTTGAATTGAGGTATGGAATCAGATCCAGAGTATTACATACAGTTTAACTATTGTTTAGTCTGAATTTATAGCATATATTAGTATATATGCTATCCTTGAGTAACCTTCTTATGCTTTGATTTAGTGGTGATTTAGTCAGATATAAACCAGGAATGTGTTTCATTTTGCCATTGTTCACATCAATGGCAAGAATGTGAGTAGATACATATCATTGTTATTTATCACTTGCATTTCCCCGCTAAATCCATATACTTAACTTCCTATCATTGTTCCTATGACCATTTCACCTTGGTGATAGCCAGAATAGCTGAAATAGCTTTCTTTTAAGCTTGTTTATATGGGGATTTGCAACAAAGTATAGCAATCTCCTATCTTTTTGTGTTCGTTTTAGCATCAAATAATTGCTGGCACGAGCAACAACACATGACTAACTAGATCACTGTGTTGCAATATTGTTACCTAGAATCTTATTATATATCAGACGTAAATCGTAAGTTTCTAATTTGAAGTTGTTTCACTGTACCAAACCGATCATGGTACATGGCTTTGCAATTATGAGACCGCTACAACAAAAAATAAAATGGTAGAGCTTAACACTGATTCTTTGAGTGTAATGAGTTGGGACCACAACAAAACATGGTATCCAAAATGATTTATTGTAGTCATTTTTTTCCTGGTTTACAATGCATTTTTATTATGAAAAGGATTTCATTGTCACTCTTGGCACCAAGGGGTGTTTGCATAATAAACCAAGATACTTTTACAATAGTTACAAGAGCTGCAAAGTCTGCCAATTTCAAAGGATTAGTTTAGCAACTCGTATATATTTGAGCAATGAGCTTCATGTTACCAAGCTTGATAAAACAAACATTGCGGTCATAGAAGGAAAACATGCTCAAAACAACAACTAAGATGTGGACAAGCTCTTGAGTATCTTCTTGCCACTATTCAACAAATATTAGGAAAAAACAATGCCTTTTAACATCAATGCAGTGATGTTAGGGACTAGCAGCCCAATATATCGGCTTAAATGCAGGTGTTGTTATTTTGTAGCAGTAGTTTAAATTCTGAACGTCACTGAATTTACATTGGGTTTCAGTTGGCTTCAGTAAATGTTGAAGCCCCAATGGGGGAACCCAAAACCATACATATAAAAAGCAGACATTTGAAGTAATATGCAAGCCACTTCAAGTTTAGCACAAAGAATTATTTGCAGTGTTTCAACAGCCAGGCAAACAAATGCTTAGTAAATATTTTATGAACTTGTATCTCTGCCACAAACATTTTATTGCTGATGTGCACAGCAATCCTGTTTAGGGTGGATTATGCTTATGTAAGTGGGCAATCTTGAAGTTGTCATGAACAGAAACATCTGCTTTGTAAGTCACCACTCAACCCACGTGGGCTGAATTTGGATGCTATGGTAAACCATGGTCTGTCGTGACAGGAATAAGAAGCATTTGCTTCTGTTGTGATTAGCCATTGCTTGTTCCCTTGTCCAAACCTCACAAACTGTGGTTACCTTCAGAATGGAACAAACAAACTTCTAACAAATGGGTAGGCACTGCTATGAAGTTGCTCCAGACAGCTGGTGTGAAAATTTAGAATACATTTCCAGGTTACAAATTTTGAATCCATGTCTTCTTCTTTTTCCCAAATTTTCAAAATAATAGTAACAATCATTTGAAAAATAGAACCCTTTCACAGTATTGGTGAAAAAAGTTGAAGAACTACAATGGACAAAAATAATAATTGTAATACATAATTGGCTTGCACAACTGCACGTTAGCCTGAATAATTTATTATAATGATCTAAATCTAACCTCTTCTACATTCTACTTTAACTCCACTGTCACAATCGAGGGTCTCATCTTGTTTAGCTTTCAATTCATTATGTTAAGGCAGTTTTTATCCTTGTCTACCAACTAAAATTGCAATAATAAAATGGTAAACTTAGCAAAATACATAGGGATGCTTTAGCTATGTTATTAAGAATGTGGGCTTTATCTCTCTGGATTGGATATAGAAGAGCAGTGCAAACCTTGTCAGTATTTGCACTGACCCCCCCCCCCCCCAAAATCCTCTTACTTTTTATCCGTCTAAAGCAGCTTCTCAAGTCCTCTTCATATAGCTGTTATGCAGTGCTTAAAACACAATGAGCATTCATTATGCCAAATCTGCAGACATTACACTTGATATAATTGCTGTCTGCCTTAATTCCTGGTTTGTCCTTTTGCAAGCATTAATTACATGTGTCAACAACAATCAGTTTAGAGGAAGATAATTGTAGGTATAGGAAAGGTTATTCATGGCAAATACGTACTTGAAATATCATGTCTCCATATTATTAAAGTTTTATCTCTTTCTAGATTCTGTAGTTTGTAGGAGTTTTGATCTTTTAGGCTTGAATACGTGGGAATAAAATGGGCTATTCTGTTCTGTGGTGCTAGTATACAAAGTAAAGTGCTTTTTAATGTTCCATTAATTTAATGTAAAAATTTGAACCCATTCCTAACTTCTCCTTTGAAATCTATAGAACTTTTAAAACATTAGGAAGGTTATACATCTCGTTTGACCTAAGCTAATGAATGTCAATTTGCTTTGGCCTAAATGCTTTGAAAACTACATAAGCTGATTTGTCCTTAACATAAGGGTCTATGAAAGAGAATTAGTTTTTGGAGAAAAGTTTGATTGCATAATTAAGATTAGATTTTCTGATTACTTAAATGACTGCTTCATATGACACCTGTACTGGGAAACAGTAGTTTAAGCAGTGCATTAAAATCAGTGTTGCAAACTAGGATCTGATTTGTTTGTAGGCACCACTTTAACTGCAGTTTTCTGATTCAGGTGTCACAGGAAACTGGATTAACAAATCTAGAAGTTTTAGCTGCAGCAGGGCATGCTAAAGGATGAGGAGAAAAGCATGTTGCTTCAGCAAATTGTTCATTTAGAATTGGGTCTGACCTGGTTCACCACAAGTTGTTAATGTGTTGCAGGTTTGGGACCAAGACTGCCGTCAGAAATCTGGCAAGACCTGACTCACTCTGCCCCACTTAAAATCCCCACTTAAAATCACAATCTAATCTTGAACAGTGTTTTCAGAAGAATAAAATGTATATTAAAATTCTTCCTGCAATGAAATGTGCATAGGTTGAAATGTTGTAAATATCACAAACTGCTTAATAACCTGCCTTCTCAGTTTAAAGGTGTGTGTTTTTGTATAAAAATTCTATATATTGAATTTCTGCAGTGATGCATTAGTCATTTATCTAGCATTGTCTTGATAATCAGTTGGTAGCACTTAACAATAATGGTGTGCAGAATGTATTTTTATGCCACATTTTATTCTGATTATATTATGCAGTTAAAGTGAGAATTGTCATTAGCAAGTGTGAGTCATCCCATTACTAATTTTGTTGAATATATCTTTGCAGTGCTGAAATAATTAAATGTATAATAACACAATTAATATAACTTTGCAATATTCCTGCAATTGGTATGAAAATAAAATAAAATGTATATCCCAACAGCTTTCATGATTCAGCACTCATTACAGAAAAGTCATTGTTTTCCGATTTATTTTTTGGATGTCTTCTACTTAAAAAATAGTCTTGAGGTGGATTACAACACACACACACACACACACACACACACACACAGTCTCCCAAGAAAATATGTATATATTATAACCAGTGCAAGCAAAACAATGCAAATGCCCAACAGAACTTAAAAATATTAACTGTCCAATGCCTGAAAGAAGAGGAAAGTATTTGCCTGGTGGCAAAAATATTTTAATAACAGTGCTAGGCAGGCTTAGCTGGGTGAAAGCATTATAGAGACATGTAGCTGAAAACACCTCTCTTGTTGCCAAACACCAATTTTTTCTCTGCCTCAGATATCTCAAGAGTCCATGTGGGCTCATGTTGGAAGAAGAGCTGCACAGGGTCTTGGGGTCTTCGGCTTTATAAGGCTTTAGAAGCTAAAACCAGAGTATCAAATTGAATTTGAAAACCTATTGGTAGCCAGTGCAGCTGGGTCAGTACCAATATGGTTGGGCTGTCTGGTTCCTGCTAAGAGTCTGGGTGCTACATTCTACACTAGCTGCAGTTTCTGGACTGTCTTTACATACAGTTCTACATATAGTGCATTGCAGTAACTGAACTGGAAGTTCACGGACTTCCAAAGCTGGGCTGTTCCCACCCAGAAAGGTGTGCAGCTGATCCAAAAACTGGAGCTGGTAAAAGACTTTCTGCACCAATGAGGACACCTGGTTTCATGTGACAGTGATGTATCTAGGAGAACTGCCTAAACTACAAACATACTCCTTCAGGGAAAGTGCAGTCCCATGCAGAAGTGGTTGAACACCACTTAGCTGGGCAGGAGAACCACCTACTAGATAAAAAACTTGTCTTAAGGACTCTATTCCGAATTTGTGAAGGGTTTACTCCTTGGCCTTTTCTTCTCCTGACTATATCCCACAAGGCAGCCTCTTGATAATTTGTTGTTGTTCAGTCGTTTAGTCGTGTCCGACTCTTCGTGACCCCATGGACCAGAGCACGCCAGGCACTTCTGTCTTCCACTGCCTCCCGCAGTTTGGTCAAACTCATGCTGGTAGCTTCGAGAACACTATCCAACCATCTCGTCCTCAGTCATCCCCTTCTCCTTGTGCCCTCCATCTTTCTCAACATCAGGGTCTTTTCCAGGGAGTCTTCTCTTCTCATGAGATGGCCAAAGTATTGGAGCCTCAGCTTCAGGATCTGTCCTTCCAGTGAGCACTCAGGGCTAATTTCCTTAAGAATGGACTTGATAATTTAGGCTGGGCCTAATCTGACTCTTTGATGTAGCAGCCAGGGAACTTGTGGGGCAAGCAATTCCCCCTGCCATCCACCTTCCATACTTGCCACCACGAGCAGCAGAATTTCACCTCTGCTAGCCAGGGATTAGGATTAGTCTTAAGATGCCATTTCAAAATGGTTATTTCACCAGCTTCTCTTGGGGTGATAGGAGAACTAATTGCATTGCATTGTTTCTGCTCGCAGGAAATGCTACTATACTTTCTAGATGGAAGATTAATTATTTGTTTATATTGCTACAGGTGGTGGTGCTCACTAGAACTGGGGTGTAAGAAAGTGCTTATTCCTTACGATTTCAGGGCATAGTATAAATACATCCTTTCTGATTGAATGTGTGTGATTACTTTCTGCTTAAAATTAAGTAATATTTCATTGGATGAGGGTATACATCCTTGTTTCCCTAGAGGCACAGAAACTACACCGAAATGGATTGGGTTTCCTGATTTCAGAATGGTTATTCATCCATGTAGCTATTATACCTTCATACACAACAGATTTGTGTTATTCTTTTTGCCTCTTCGGTACTTCCCTTGAATACCACTAAAGGGTGTATCATAATTTTTCAGCACATTGAAGGAAAGAGAAATATGACAGCAAAAAAAAAATCTGATAAATTAAATTTGACATGTTTTTTATCTATATAAAATGGATTCTGAACAGCTGGTAATTGTGAATATTTTAGCAGTCATTTTTTATGTGGAATATTGCGTCTGTGCTCAGCTCTAATGAGATGTGAGTTGTACTTCATCAAATTGACAGTTCTTACTCCTTTTGATGAGTGTGTGATATATTTTTTCAGAGTACTTCTTAATGGATACACTTACTTTTGGAAGAGAAGACCCATTTCTTAGACTTCTTGAATTAGGAATGACCCTGATACAAAAATTGTAGAACAGTAAAAAGGATGTAAAAATAACAGAACCTTTTAATTTGATATTAAAGGTGAACAAAAAGCCAAAATCACACACCGGTTAAATGAACCTTACAGGACAACTGGTGAAAAGTTTAGTTTTAAAAATCTTTGTTATTGGTTTAAAAGGAAGAACAAATCGTAAATAAGTACAGCGACATGCATCTGTTGATTTGTTTCAATTGCAGATGCAGTGACAGGAGAATTTAAGTTGTTGAAAATTTCAGGCATGTAACCTAAACAGCTTCTGCTTGGAGGTAAAGGTGGTAATCTGGAGTCTGAGGCATAATAGGCAGACAGGTGATGCAGCAATCTCAGTAATGTCAAGCAGGTTTAGTAGAGTGTGTGGGGGCTTCCGGAGGCGGCGCCAACAAGCAATGGCGATCTCCTCGTAACTGCAGAGGAGAGGCTCCGCGAAAATCGGGTCGATCCGCTACGGCGCAGCGGAGACCCATTTGAAACCCGCAGGCGGAGGAAGCCTGCGGTCGTGGGACTCGGCGGGTGCCTGGAGCGCGCCCCTAAACAGCGTAGGAACCCCGCGAGGGGCTCCGAAGCAGGACGGGGGTGGCGCGGCACTGTGAGTCTTCTGCTACCTTCGCGGAGTGAAGCCGTGCGGCTGTTGCTGGAGAGCGCTGACCTTTCTTCCTTGACAATTCGGCTGTCAAAACTACAACCCGTGAGTAGGTTTGACGATATAAGGACTGACTAAAATTTCTGAACTAATTTGGCTGAAGCGGGAAGGTGTAAAAAGGAAGTCCACCTTCCGGTCTGTATAAAGATTAAAGCAAAGACTGTGTGAGTTCGATACCAATGACTGCCAAAAGAGACTGAAACACAGACGTCTAACTTAAAAATTTTCCCTCCCATAATTGGACTAGGGAGGGAAGAAGAGACAGTATTTCTTGTTATTTCCTGTTAGTTTTGTGTAATTTAAAGAGTAAATAAGGAAACAAAGACCACCTCTCAATCCCTGGGGACAGACTGCCAGGTTTGGAAAGATTGGACACTTTGTTAGCACTCTAAATGGACAATGTATCTTCTTGCCTACTAACTTTACAAAATTGAAACTTTTGGAAAAAGTTGCCTCTTTGGCTGTTTGAGAGTTTTTATTCTTGATACTTTATTACTTGTGTTCCTCTGGAGGCCAAAGGGGAAAAAGTCTCTAATTGACCGAGGAATTTTCCACTCAACAGCAGCCTGGGAAAGCACAATAGCAAAACAACTTCGGCTGTGAGAGTGACCTTGACTTTCAGATAAAGTGCCATGGAAGGAAGAGACTTGAGGTCTGGGAAAGGCAGGCAGCAGAGCAACATTCCACAACAGCAACAGCGTAGGCAATCCATTGCCGGGCCACAAGGAGAGGAAGAAGGATTGGCCAGTTTATTTAAAATTGTGAATGAAGGTTTTGAAAAATTGGGTCAACAAAATGCCGAGGCATTAGAAGCTATTAGACAAAATTCTGCAAGTATTGACAAGTTGACTCGACAGACTAATGAAAATACAGATGTGATTAAAAAACTATTGGAACAATCCGCTGAAACCCAAAAAACAGCTTTGGAAGCTAGAGAAAAGGCGGTAGCTGCTGAAGAAAAATTACCACCTTTAATTAAACAAGTTGAAGAGCACCATATAAGATTGGGAACGCACCAGGAATTGCTATCTGTCCTTGAGTTAAAGGAGAAACAGACCAATTTAAGGATCAGAGCAGTACCTGAGACTGAGAAAGAGAGCCTGGTAGACTTTTTGACACAAGAATTTGCCAACTTTTGGCAACTGAATGATAAGGAAGATTTCAAGATAACGTCTGCTTTCAGGCTTGGAAGAAGAGCAAGAAAAAATAGAGTGAGAGACTGCCTGATTACCCTGCGATCGAAGGAGGAACGAGATAAAATTTTGAGCTTACACTATCGAAATACACTAATAATACAAGACTCAAGGATAGAAATATTCAAAGACATTCCAAAGCTCCTTTTGGAGCTTAGGTCTAACTATCGGGACCTGGTGACGTTGCTGAGAGGAAATAGAATTTTTTTCAGGTGGGAGTTTCCTCAAGGCCTATCTTTCAGTTTTAAAGGCAAGAAAATTAAAATAAAATCTGTGGAGGAGAAACAGAACTTTTTGAGAGACTACCAAGAGGACTTACAAAAAGGACTGGGGGAGGAGCCAGAAGCCCCCTTAACAGGATTGGATCCTACATTACCACCGTTGGGAGAGGATAAGACAGAGAAGGTGAAACCACCAACAGAGGAAGAAGAGTTATTGGGAGCAGTTGGAGGGAAATAAAGAAATCATCA